CTGGCCTGACCGGCCAGACCGACCGACCGCCGGACTGGGCTAGGAGGCGCAACCTTAGCCGGACCAGGCGGACCGACCGACTGCGGGACCGCAAGGCTCGGTCGGCCGCCCGTCGGTCGGTCCGGCAAGTTTTCTCAATCTGACATACCAGTGTTGGTACGTACAACTCGGGGTGGCTCACTGAGCGCCGGACCAGGCGGACCGACCGACCGCTGGACCGCTAACTTTAAGACTCACCGCAAACCACAGGGTTCATGGTCTCTAACCCTAAGTCGTCCCGTCAGGACCTACCCAAACCCACCCTAACCCCCAAGCTTTGCCCACCACAGTCACTAGAAGATGACAACAAACTAAAAGCTAAGGATAAGTGACACACCCTAACCCTAAGTCGTCCCGCCAGAGCTCACCCGCACCCACCATAACCGCCCTGCTAACCCCATCAAAGTCACAGTCCGGTGGTCGGTCAGTCTGCCGATTGTTAATCATGCAAAGTAAATGCCAAAATAATTCAGAATTCAGTCGGAGTTCCGTTGTTCCGTTGCCGACAGGGGCACGCGGAGCCCGACTTAAAATCTCCCCTGTGGTCAAGATTAGCGGGCCCCTATTTGCGTTCTCCCACGCCTTCAAAAAGCCCAGCGTGGCAAAGTGCGCAAGTAGATGCTCTCGTCTAGCTTATTCTTGGATACGTCTCTTTAAAGGAGCCAGTTTGCTAACGTCGGCAAGGAGCGACCCGGGCGTGAGCATCTCAATTGCTCACTTTCGATCCACACGTGACACCGTACGGAGCGAGCACCGCAATCTTCAAAGGTACTCTGCGGTACTAATCAAGGTCGAGTAGCCGAGTGCCGCGCTTAAGAACGGTTGGATTCGCCGTTCGAAAAGCTGAACGATTTTGACGTGCTTTTGTCTGAGCGCTCGTTGTATTAGTTGAAAAGCAGGTTCGAAATGGCATAAGATTCTGATCGCGGTCCACCTGCAGCGAGTTAAGCTGATTTGTACACGCTGACGCACATATATACGTCAGAGATGCGCGCCGCTATCGCCAAGCCGCGCTTTTATTGAGCGGATCCTTTGAGTTCCTCCTATCGCTTCTTCCACCTTGACTTAGCTTCCTTGAATTGCCGCCCTTTCTTTTCAAACATGTGGTACTCACGGTTTTTGCACCGCTTCCTCCGGCACCGCCAAGTGCGTAAGATCAACAGGAGTCAGCCTTTGCACAACTCGCCCATCGTCCACCCTAAAACCCTGTTTACTTCAAGTGTTTGTGTTTACTTCTGATTGGCTCAGCTGTTGTGCATGATTGTTGTTGTGCATGAAAGAAAGTCTAACGGCCCGGCAGGCTATGAGGGAAGTTTCATCTGGGCAGCGAGCAATAGCTCATCTTGTCATGAAGAGCAATCCAAGCTGTGACTTATTCCAGGCACTGGTCTTGCGGGCGGACTTTGTGAATCAGCGCACGCCTCAGATTGGAAGGGCTGCAAGCTTTGGAATCTGCACAATCTTCAGACAACGTTAGAGATCTTGGGCGCGTTGGTTTCAAACAGGAGCCAAAACGGGGCTGAATCGTAGCATTCCGCTACAAAAAAGTGGCCATGAATCGGAGCTAAGCCCCGGCTCAAGTTTGGTGTGAATTCAAGGCGCCCTGTATACGGAGTCCAGTGCTCCAAGGCCTCGTTTCCTTACCGAGTGTTTCTGGCCCAAGTCCTAGCTTCTGTCAGAGTGCGGCAAGGATTAAGCGGTTCATGCATGAACGTTGCCCACTCACTATGAACGAAGGCCTTGTTCAAGTCGCTGTTCAAGCGGGTATTCTTACCTCAAAAAAGGACGTTCAAGTTTGTTCAAGCACGTCGAGTTTGTTCGAGCAGAGATAGCTTTTTGAACCGGTACAAGCGCCTGGCACACGCCCGTACTAGGACAAATTCGGCTATAAGAATCGAATATCCGGTCATTTCAGCCATATAACGACTTGAACATTGATATTTTCAAGCAGGATAAGAACTCGAACACGCGTTACTTGGACAGGGCCCTGGTTTACAGTGACTGTGCCGTCTCCAACCCATGCGTTGCGAGCGAGAGCCGGTCCGCACACATGATAAAGATTGCGAATACGTGCGCGTGATCCAAAGGTTCAAGCTTTCGAGCACATTTCCCCTCAATCTGACCGGCGCTTCCTAGTGTAGCGGTGATCGATCGCTTCGTTCTGGGTTGCTGCAACGGCGTCGGTCGTGTCGATCAGGTTTCCTGCGTAAAGGTACTCCACTGTCTCGCGTTTATTAGTCCCTCCGCGCTTGATGTTACGGCGACTGGTAAGGAAAGCCAAATGCACTGTCGCCATGCTAGTCAGCTCGCACATTGGCAACATGAATGTGCTATATATTCAAGCCAGATTATTTCCCTGGTCAAAAAGCTCCCTGCGATAGCACTCACTCATATTCGCACTCATCCATCCCGTTCTGAAGGCGCTACTACTCGTCAAACTCAGCTATCTAAGTAGCCTTGGAAGAGCTCCACACCCTGGAGTGAACAGCCTTGCCGCTTCGGCTGAGATTTGTCCTGAGCACTTTGTGTGACCGTCGGGCACTGATTTGAGAGGATCTGGCCACCACGCCGGCTAAGTGTTTTGCCGTCGTTACCAAAACAAATGAGCCCCCGTGCGGATAGATTCGTGGGACGTTTAAATTGATCGTCGAGTTCCTTCGTTTCCTCTCGGCCGACAGACTCCCAAACCTTCTTTTCCGAAAATCGCTAGACGATGATGGGCCAGCTCCTTGGGTGATTGCTTTTCAGGAGCGTAGCCTTCAGCAGAGTCATGTTCCCGGTTTTTCCGTCAGAAGGGCCTCCCTTCGCTTCGTGCGATGCGGCCAGTCTGCAACAGAGTGAGAGTACAACATGATGAATCTGTTCCGGCGCGAATAGAAAGAATACGAGAGGTTTTGCCTTGGTCCGCAAAGGAGCTCCGGCGAACTTCGCGAAGCTGACTCGGACATCATACGCTAGCACACGTCGATCGGATGCTTGTGCGGCCGGGCAAGAAGTACTGGCATTCGCTCCACGCCTTTCCGCCTCCAACGACCCTCGACAGGTTGCACCGATAGATGCTCCCAAACAATTCTTTCCCTTTGTTCCCTTTTGAAGGCTTGCAGAATGCAATCGGCAGTGAGGGACCCGTACGTGAGCAGAGCGGTCGCTCACTGGTGGAAGACGTGGCCTATGACGGAGCCAGAGCTGCAGTTGTGTTTGTGACTGAAACGTGTTTTGTGATACGACGAGTAGCCAAGTGCCGCGCTCGCTAAATTTGCCACTCGTTGCTCCGACCCTTTCCGACCGAATGATAATGGAGAAGCTAAAGTAGTGGTTGACCAGCAGCTCGAAGGATCAGTGATGAGCAACTTCGAAAAACGGAAGGTCTCGTCTTCGGCACGCAATCGTGCTTTATTTGAAGACCGTCCGATTCTAAAATGAAGTAAAAGGAACCCTTCCTTCGACCCGCCCGGCAATGCTCCACCGTAGGATCTGGTCCTTCAAATGTTGCGCCATCGGTGTTCGCTGGGCTCTGTAGTTCCACATGAGCCAGCGGGGCCACATGCGGAATTCGTGCCGCGTTCGGTACGACCAGACGCTCTCTCCACTTGCTTCGAAATCGATTAGTATCACTTGATCTCGTTGACCAAACCCAGGTTCTCACGTTAGCAACGCGTTGTGTTTCGACCGTTTCGAGCTCAACAAATTCAAGGTTCATTTCAGAAGTCCTGAAGTCTTCAGCCATAAAGGGCTGTCCCAGAGCTGACAGAAGGACAATGAGGCTTCGATCGGACGTCTTCTGCAGAAATAATGCATCAGCCCGTCAACGAACTTTTCGCAAAGTGACGGGTCAGATTGATACCTTGTAGAGGATTCGATAGCACGCCGGGCTATATATTGTACCCTTGGTATTTATGGTGTTAGTGGGCGCTAACTTACGCTCTTTGAATCAGACAACGAAGTCCTGGCGCTAGTGTGGCTTTCCTATGGCCATTTTTCTCATGCTTTTTCAGGCTGACGTCGCGGATGAGCCCTGTGGCAAAGGACTCAACTTGTTTCGTCTGCAGCTCGGTTCTAGGGCCGTCTAGAAAAAGCAGAAGATGTATGTGCGCTTCTGATTTGGCCGCGCTCTGCCGGTTCAAAGGACGTTGTCTCTTTCGTGTCGATAGATAAAAAAGACAACTTTATCCAGTCTGCAAAGGTTGCGCGTTTGGCAGTGCACGGTTTCGAGCGGGCTTTGTGCACTGTGCGCGGTTTCAGACGACGGGCGCGTACAAAGCGGCAGCCGCCTGCCGACCAACTGCGAAGTTCGAACCACGCGCGCAAATTATTCGAGCGACGAGGACCATTCGTGTCCGTGCGATGAAAAGGTCAAAACGTACGGCTTATCGTGCGGCCAGGAAACGACGATTCCCGTTTGCCTCTCGTTGACTCTCGTGTCGAGTTTCGTGTCGACACTTCCGTGACGTTGGTCGACTTTCGGTGTCAGAGGAATCTGTTTGTTTGGGATCCGGGATTCCGGTCCGCTTTCATCGAGCGTGCAATGTCCGCAGACCAGGAAGCCGCCACGTGGCCGCCACAGCCAAGGACAGTCACAGTCTGGCCCTTGAGTCCGTCCGGGGTCAAAAGTCACAGTATCCCCCTTAAGAATCTAGACCTGCTAGACCAAATTACAAGGTGACCCTGTGTTCTAGTAAGTCCTTATATAAAAATGCTATATTGCTGTGATTCAAGTGATTCCTGCATGTTGCCATGATGCCTGCACTTCTCATATATATCACCTCATGCGCTATGCACCTGGGTGTGCACGCGTTCATTAATACGAAGTGACCATCACTAATCAGCAACATCTCGGCCTTGGAACTTTAGATACACAGCTGAGCAACCAATGAGCAACGAATCGCTTTTTCAACTTCTACCTGGTTTGGCTGCATTCAGCTGCCGGTGGGGGAGTCTTTAGTAGCTGGTGAGCGAGCCTTATGTGTCCGTTTCGGTAGGCCATTGTACTGTAGAAATATTTCATTGCATAATAGGTGCCACCACCCGCTGTGCACTGTAATCTTCAGGGTGTAAGAAATTGCAGCTTGCCTGAATGGGGCCTGCATCATGCCTGGTTAAGCAGGGCAGGAAACTCTAGCTAGCGTGATCTGCTGCGGGGATTAGACAGACGATCGAATCTGATCAGTGCCGACCATATGATGAAAACCTTCAGCTAGCATTGCAGTGCAAGCAGAGTAGCAAGCCTGTGGCTGAGAACATTTTTGCAAGCCAGTCAAGAGTCTTGCCGTTTCCTGACCGCTCAAGAAACTGTATGTTGTCTTGCCCTTGCAGTGCCCCAGTAGCTGCTGTAATCTTCCAGTACCATGATTCAACATCTTAAACCCTGTTACCCCTATTTGAACTGAAGGGTCCCCACAGGCCGATCTGAGCTGCAGGTCTGTGATGTGCCGTGCCTTAATCTACTCCATAGAAAGGCATATTACAGATATTGGCTCGGGAATGGTTGCTTTCATTCAAATGTAAGTCCTATTCCAAATTTGCTTGTATTTGCAGATCAGTTGCGATGGGGGTGATGAGCGGTGCTAGTCTTCTCTGTGCACTTTTCTGTCTCTACTGCACCACGTGCACATGCACGGACACGCTATCTGGCATTGCTGAGGTGAGTCGCGCCGCGACAATGATTAGCAGAGCTAGGCCCCACACATTCTCTCAGCAGCCGAGGCTTGGACCATCATTTCTTTCTCCGCATGATGCTCCCAGGCTCGGTTGCATCAGCAACGAAGGCAGCAACAAGTTTTGGTACAGTATTGCCGTTATGCGGCCCTTGCATTCGTACGAGAGACTGCACTATACATGGGGCAGTCACTCTGTGCTTGCATTTTAAATGATGCACACTGCGCACATGTATACCACATCATTTAGTTCTATGATGATGGAAGAGCAGCCAGTCCCATCATTTTAGTATCTCAAACCGGCACTCTAAAGCCCGCGTGGGTCTTCAATGCAATCGCCAGAGTCTAATCACACTCACAGTTTCCGTTGCATGAGCACTGGCGATCGCGCAACCTACAGGCCGCTCCCTAGAGTGGTCTTCAAATGTTCCTGACTGACAAAGTATGTTCCAACTTATGCTCCGCAGGACGTGGCCAAACCTGCCGTCCCTGGGGGTCGCCGCCTCCTGCAGCAGGCCGCCCCCCTGTGCACTGCGGCCGGGCAGTACAAAGCCGACCCGGCATCGAGCTGCACTTCCTACTGGCAGTGCACAGCGAGCGGCCAGGGCTTCTACCGCCAGTGCGGCCCAGGGACCGCCTTCAATAACGCCTGCTCCTGCTGCGACTTCCCCTCCAACTTCGTCTGCGGGGGGGGCGGCGCCACCCCTGCTCCGACCACCAAAGCACCCACCCCTGCTCCGACCACTAAAGCACCCACCCCCGCCCCGACGACCAAAGCGCCGACTCCTGCCCCGACCACAAAGGCACCTACCCCCGCCCCGACGACTAAAGCACCAACCCCTGCCCCAACGACCAAGGCACCCACCCCTGCTCCAACGACAAAAGCACCGACTCCCGCCCCAACTTCCTCAGGCAAGCCTACTTCAAAGAAGGTTTTGCGTGTGCAAATCGAAAGCTGGTTATTGTATTCCCTGCCAACTGCGCTTCTGCCAGAGCAGTACAAGTATGGTAGGATCACAGCTGGTTTAGGTTATGGTTAAGACGAAGGACTGACAAAAGTAAGGTCATAGGCGAGTCTTTCCGTGCTCGAAAACGCAGCCTGCACTGATCTTCTTTCTGGTCACTTTCAGAAATGCGGAGGGTAAGAATGCTTAGAAAAGAAGCGGACGTCAGTCGAGGCTGTTCAAGTCAAAAGCTGGTTAGAGGGCACTCAAAACCAAATGTGGTCAAGAGCAGAAGTTTCTGTGAATCTGGTAGCAAGGAGCATCGAGGGCTTCAGCATTCGTCTTCAACCCACTTCATCAGAAGTGACCAAGCTTGGTTAACTGTGGAATCTCCCTGTGATATTGCAGGCGTGGGCGGCTGCCCTGCCGGCTGGCTGCCAGCAGTGGGCACCCTCTACGATAGCTGGCCCAAGCCTGGCACGACCGAGTGCATCACCTATTCCGGGTGTGAATACGCCGGTCAATTCTCTCTGGTCGACCCCGGTCCTTGCGGCGGCCCGTGCGCCGCGGGGGCGCAGTCTCTGAACGGCGGCCTCTCTCCCCCCAACGTCTGCTGCCGCTGGCCCGAAGCAAAGGTCGCCCAATGGTCCATGGCTGCCACGTGGGAGCGGGACAGCGCACTCCTGGGAAGGAAGCTCCAGGTGACCACTGCCCTTCGCATCGCGCAGTGCGGCTGGCGGTAAATTTAGGAATCGATAGCGTACATTTCGCGCGTAGTGTACGGTCTTTTGGCCCCCCTGCCTTTCGAGCGTTTCCGAGCCCGTCAAGCGTTTTGCGGGTTTGAGAAAGGGGACATGGAAATGCGGAGAGCTCATCAAGCCAGCAACGTCTAGGGGTCTGCCTACCTTTTTCTCTTTCCTTTGTGCCCCCATGCTCAGCCTTGCGCCTTGCAAGCCTGATACGCCCTGCCTTCCTGCTTGTCTATGTTACCTGCACAGATGTTTGCCTACGAGTGACTTTCGGTTCTGATTGCGGCAGCTCGGTTGTTTTGCCGACTTTTTGGGGCTTGACCAGGAGCGCGTGCAACAGGTGGTGGTCTTGGTTCCGGTCAGCTGGCAAGCTACCCATGCAAGATTCAGTTCGGAACCGGACCCGCTTCGGATCCCCTTAGGATGGCGTTCAGACACAATGTAACATTTCGGACCTGTCCGGACCGCGTCTGAAAGAGTCTAATTCGGACAGAACTTCTGGTCCGACGCGAGTCCAAACCTGGTCCGAACCTGGTCCGGATCCAATCCGAACTTTCATGTCCGTCTTGCAGCATCAGTCTGAAGCATGTCCGAAACGGGTTCGAACCAGTCCAAACTCCGTCTGAACCGCACTTAAGTTCGGATCGACTTCGGACCTAGTTCGGACAAAAGGTTTCTCGCAGTGGGGCCGGCCAAGTCATGCGCAAGATCCACTTTTGAAAGCCTTTGAGCAGATTGGGACATGCAAGCAGTATTGCACGCATACCGCGTCCAGATAGGCACATCCTTGAGGATGTTTGCTTGCCATCACCCCAAGCAGGCTTTCCCGAGAAGCTCGATGAACGCATCCGGAAAAGTAACGTTCTACCTGCATGCTCGCAGCACCCATGAGAGGAGGACGCAAGCTTCGAGCCTCTCGTCTGGAACGACCCCTCCAAGTAACGGTCCTAGATCAAGCGTTTCTTGGGACTCAATTACTAAACCGATCCAGCGCCCCCTTAATGTCAGGTACAAGTGCTCGGGGGGGCAGGGACCACCGCGTTCGTGAACGTGAAGGACGTGTGCAGCGACTTGGACTGCGAAGGGTGTTGTTCTCAGAACACGGGGAATGGGGCTTACAAGCTGATAGACATCGAGAAATGGCCTGCGAGTACGCTCCTTGGGTTCCAGCACAGCAGCCCAAGCTTCGACATCAACAACGTGCCCTCCCCGGTCCAGAATGGGAGGCGCCCCGGCGCGGACGCGGGCGTCATGGCGGTGTGCTACAAGGATGCGGGCCCCGCTGATAGGATCCCGTAGGTCGTTTGATTAGAGAGTCATATGTCCGTAGAGTTTTGTTTTGCTCATTGGGCAATATTTATAGAAAGACCCTGCTCTTGCGTTGAGATGCCCGATTCCTGATTGTTTGGAGGTTTCGAGACCCATTAATTGGATGTGAGTGTTTGCAGTCAAGTGTGTACTTGGTTCGTCCAAGTAATACAGATTCAAACGTTCAAAATTGCAATTATATGCAGGTGATTGATTGTGGCTTTGGACACGTCGTACAAAGATAGGATGAACGGGAGGGACATCCTTAAACGGTAGATCATTCTCAATGTTTTGTACCGAGGAAATTATCGACGTTTCATAGTCAAAATACAGAGTCACATATTGATCATAGTATTCAAAGGCAATCATTGAACACAATAGGATCACTTGAGCCAGCTTGACGAGGTCAAAAGGCCGGGGTCCATTTAGGCGTCTAGTTTATATAACCTCCCAACAGTTCTTTAATCTGCCGGCCTGAGTGGACCGTTCAACTTAAGTGCCATTGAAAGGTCATGCATTTTGACGTCACTCTTCAACGAGATTGCAGTTGACAATTTTGCGACGGCTTCCCAGGTTATAAAGTCGATATATACCGCCCATTTGTTATCAAAGAGAAACCGCTTTCCGATGGATGAAAACACCAAGTTTGCGGACGTACCCATGCGCCATCCCGACGCAGTCAGTGATGCCACGTCCGTGACAGACTCGGCCCGATTGGCTTTACTCTCGATCAACTCACTCGTCCAGCGCTCTCACGATATATATTTACGTTACCGCAGATAGCCAAGCGCGCGGGTTCTTTCAGCATGCCACGTTCTTACCTATATGTGCATGGCACATGCGCAACTGAACCTTCACTGGCATGTGGCGGCGAGTAAGTGCTCCATCAAGCTAGCCTCCGACACGAGTGATCGAGCCAGCTGGTCTTATTATTTCACCATCCATTGATTCTCTCATATGTTTACGGCGTCGCACTCTTGCTGGGCTGGCTGCACATTGGTTTTGGAAGCTGTAGGAAAACGACAGACTCATTGGCGTTCCGGAGGCTTCTTGTTAATTGCCGCTCATATTTCTGTGGCTGTGCTTTGACTGGCATGTCCCATCTGGAACGTTCTCTGAGGCAACTCTTGAAGGTAGGCGGCCTTCTGATCTGGTAACAAGTTCTCACCGGAACAACTTCGTGGGCTGCGGCGTCAACGTCTCAATCTTCCGACGGAAGTGCTTTACCATGATTTTACGAATAGACTTTGTTGTAATTCGCCCTTTTGACGAGGCTGCGCAGCGTGTGAAAGCCCGTTTCGGCAAGCGGGCCGAATTCGAAGAGAACTGAATCTTGTCGACCCAGCTGCTAAAGACGCTCACAAGACTAAAGAGGGACCTCCAACGAAAAGTTTTGGTTTTGCTAAGCCGCACTGTTATCTGACGTTGTCTTCCTTGCAATTGCCCATATACGTGTCCCTTCACGTGCTGCGGGTGTCGAGGAGCTCGCGTCATTGCTTGCATGAAAGGCCGTCTGTTGAGCTCAATCCCCTTCATCTTTGGTCTTAGACGCGAAACTCGCTGCCACTGGGCGGTCCCTTCGCCGCACACGGTAGCCATCAGTTAATCGCTTCTTCTTTTGATCTGAAAAAGGACGAGGATAGTGTCAACAAGCTCCGTGGAGGACCCTCCCTCACGACTGATCAATACAGACTGGCCAAAGCAGCCGGCCGCGACCTGCTTACTTCAAACGGCAAACGAAGGTAAGTTCGCGCTAGCGTACCGCGCTGATGGTGTGGTGCGAGGCTGTGTTGCGCAATGACTTTCACGTGGATCGTACTTTCAACACCTCCGCGCTTAAAGTCACGGATGTTGGCGAGGACAATCAGCTGCACTGTGGCCAGCCGGCGCCCACACTGGTGGTATCGTTGGGATTCAGTGCTGAGCCGGAATTAATTGTACGTCCACTACTACCGTTGCAACTCTTCGCGGTCGACCTGTAGCGACTCTCTTAAGCAGACGTTTGTGTGAACGTTGGGCAGTGATCTCAGAGACGATCTGGTCATATCGCTGGGCCACACAGGTCCGACTCTCGAACCAATGAGCCGCCCGCGCGTGTCCGCTATTATGTATTCCTCATGTCCGTCTACGCGTTGTTCAATCCTCTAGGCTAAGATCTTTCGAACCTATTAGTCAGAAATGGGCAAGGACTTGGAGAATCCTGCAGCATACTGAGCGCATCAAGTTCAATCTCCTGCCTCCTGGCAGCGCGGTCTGCCACCCGATGACGGCAGATGAACCCGTTCAAGGTCGGGCGAGCTACATACCACCCACCCACATTTCCTGCGCGGATGACCATATGAGGCTTAAATGCGACTGCGAACTTGAGTGCAGGCCCGTGACAGTGCAGAAGACTGTGTAACAAGTGATCTGGTGTTCGGCAATTGAGCGCACCAGTGCGCTTCGCTTAGGCATTACAAGCCTCTCCATTTGCAGTCTCTGCTAATCTCCGTCGCTTCATGCGGCATATTTAAGCCCTGATGTAGCTGTCCGAATCCTTCTCTCGTTTTCCGAGCAACTTTCTGATCTTTCGGCAATCTTACACAATTTTGGAACCTGCGGCTCGAAGCATCTTCAAATCAGGTTGGAACACTCCCCCTAATCGCATCCGTTACAGAATTATCGACTTCCATTGCATTGTCGACGTCGTGCGCCCACCCCGCAACTTTCCTTTGCAAGGTTGGTAGTACCGCGTACGATCTGCTAGCAGATCACATGTACGACTCTCAACCTGGCGGCACGTGCAGAGCGTCTGGCAGTCGCTTTAGCCCCGGCGTTGAGCACAACATCTAAGTTGAGAGGTTGGGTTGAATGACCCGTCAACCTGTTGAGTTCTGTGGCCGGTCGCTCCAACATGCAGATGATGACCCTTGGTGCTACTACAGCTGGCATGTTTCAGGCCCCTTGTAACCACGTTGTGGGCTGACGTCACTTCGAAGGTGGCAGACGCCTTGATTTGGAATTTCGGACGATAGGCGCTTCAAGGCGCCATGTCTGAACCCTTTGGGAAGGACGCAAGTCTGTGCAGCGGACTTGTCGAGGTCTCCTATCTCATCAACCCGAGGGGAAAAGATCTTCTTCGTGATTACCTTCGTGTTTGCAGGTTTTTGAATCGACCTTGACGTGGGATTTGAGAAGCTTGCAGATATGACTTTTTGGTTCAGTTTTTTATAGATAAGTTGGAATGGACTAATGCTTGCACGGCCCGCATCTTTACTTCCGCTTGTCATTCAAGTCTTTTTATCACAGTTTCCTTCGACGTTCTTTTCCCGGCCCCCGGAGCGCCAACACAGGCGCCCTTCTGATCATCTTCCTCTTTCCTAAGCGCAAGCTCCAGAAAGAATACCATTTCAGGATCTCCTCCCGTGCGAGAAGTTATCAGCTTTGCCCTTGAGGATTTCAGACATGGTGACTCACAAGTACGGGTAAACGGAAGCCTTTTCAACCGCCGAGGCAAGAAAGCATCTTGTTTGGGCCCAATAAACTCTGTACTCTTCGACTCCGGTTTCTAGCTCTTTAACAACGAATAGGACAATGGTCTTCCCACACTAGTCTTGCGTTTATGCCACTCTGTGTGGCTCCTGCTTTTGGAGTGGAACTTTCCGTGTCCAAGTGGTTGATGGCTATGCCGTAAATTGATAGTGAATGTGCGCGCGCGCGGCCCTCATTTTTGAGGTAGTATTTTCCAAGTGCTTCGAAATCCAGGTACGTAGATGCGTGGCTAGGACAATTGCATCTGAGAGATTGTGCTCAATGGTGGACAACACGTACTGCAGTACTGCAGTGCTCAGCTGAGTCGCACGCATCGCTTTCGACATGTTAGCGAGCAGGCTTTCTGATCGTGGGCTCCCCGGATCCGGCAAGAATCTTGATGGATTTGCAGAGTGTCAAAGTCGGAAGCTTCAAATAATTTCCGCATTGCTTCAAGAAAGCTAAGCTTCGATGATTCTGAAAAGGACTAGCTGTAATTGATACAAGAAAGCGTGTCCCGCCCAGCTGTTTCGAAAGCCCACTAAGAGGATTTTTGCATTTGTGGATACTGGCTCCTCGGATCTGCTGCAATGAAAGTAAAACAAGCTCAGCGGTCTTTTCGTTGCACAGCTTGCGGACGTTTATGTCTCGCGTCTGGACATGCATGACAAATCATTACGTCCTCGCCCGTCCCTTCGAATAGAGTTCCTCGAAATCATCATCAAGGCAGCGGCCCAGAATGATTGAAACTACGAGACAACGAGTACGAACTTGTAGCCACGTCCCATTAATTCTGTCATCAGGACTTTGTGTGACCATCGGGTTATTACTTTGGTTCTGTGACATCGGGCTATGATCGGTAGCAATCTAGTCATTCGCTGGCCCTTACGGTCGTCATAGGAAGGTCGCTAATAAGCCGCCGGCCTGCTTTCTCTTAAGACGTAAGTTCTTGTCTGTCGAACGAGTAAGTTTATCTCGTTCTCCGACGATTGGCCGGGAAAAGCTCTCAGACTAGCTCATTGCGTCTCTACAAACTCACAGCCCATTCCTGGATTGAATAAGGGGCCACGGGCCAAGGTGATACCGCGTTCGAAACTTCCCCTGGCCTTACTCTTCCATACTAGTCAAATTTCCCTTCCCGTCACGGCCGGTCTGCAGTATAAGAGTAAAGGCACCCGGTCGAGAACATTCCGGTAGCGTCTAGCGGCGCAATCTACCCCTCGCTTACTTTATACGACCCCTCTCAGGTGCACCTCGTGGATTGAGAGGGAAAGCCATATATCTGCAGCCAAAATAATGTGGCCAAATGATCCTAGGGATTCAAGCCGCTAGGCTTCGAGTTGAGCTGCCTCGAGTGGCCCGATATGGTGAAAAGCAAGGCGGCGATCTGGATCGGCTGAATTTTATGTCCCTGAGTCTCACCAGCAGGCGTCTCAGTCAAGCTTTGACATTCTCAGTCAAGTAATGATGGCCAAGACGAGGCCACCGCAGTGAGCAACACCGTCACCTGTGCAGCTCATGTATCCTACTCTTATTTAGAGCAGAAATTTTGTGACTTCCCCGGCTTACTTTGGCCACCAGCGCTCCATGTGGGCATTCGTTACATAAACTGCCACGTCGTCGCTTGCAGCTTAGTGGCCGTTTCAAAGAACTTCCTAGATCTATTTTTTGAGAGAATCAAGATCCAAACATAGCAAGATTTCGGCCCGCCTGGCAATGATTGCACCGCAGAATCCTGGGGCGGACTCGAGCGCCCGGGAGACTATGGTTTGCATGCGGGTCCAAAAGAGCCAGAAGACCGGCAAAAGACGTCGGTGTAACGGGCCAAACATGAAGTCCGTCCACCAGACAGGCTGGCTCGAGATCTGCCAGAGACGCTCTGGCGAATCCAAGAAATTGACTTCACGAGCTAGCACACGGGTGCTTGCGTCGGCAAAAGTTTGACTCAATCGATCGGTCCAGGTCCGCCATCCATGCCTCCGATGGCCCTCCAGATCTGGGCCGCTCGGTACCTTTAGAGACTTTTCCTTCGTCTACTTAACGACGTTTTTCATTATATAAAATGTGAATTGCAGTTGACAAGGAGGGAGACGCGTGCGTGAGAAGGGCTGTGCTCGACCATATGGTACGTTCATGTAGGAATCCGAATTCGAGATCGAGACTACTGGGCAGATGACGACTTTGACGATTGATTAGTAGCCGAGTTGCCAGATTTTCTACTCTCGGCTAAATGAAACGGCGCGGACTGAGCACTACATGACGTCTTGCTGATTGTTAGAACAATGTTCGCCACGCCAAAAAGTCTGTGTATCTGGGATCAAACGGCGGTTACAACTCCATTTGAACCCAGGCCAATGTTCAGAGGGACAAGTTCGTATGCTTGAGTCAATCTATAAGAGATTACCGAGGCGGAAGTACGTTGATCTCTGAACGGACTCTATGTATATCTGCTTGATCGAGCGGTAGTATCTTGAACCGACATACCACTCGTCAAGATTTGCGCACTTTGGGGCGGACTGTGCCCACGAAAGCAAGCAACGTCGCTTTATGTGCCACAGTGCATTCACTGGCAGCCTCACTTCAAGAGACAAGACTTTAACATATCTTTGTACAAATTATAACCACCGTCAGATGACCAAAACCACTTGCCTCAACTTTCTTTAGAACATTGCGCTCATGCGAAGTTTTTGGCCACCCCAAGGCACGTTAGGCGCGCCTTATATATAGGGCAGTAGTGACTCTCGAAGCCCCGAAAATTTCCTGTCTGCGACTCCCAAGCTCCCTCGTGCCTGAACAGGGTTTGGAATCCTAATATTTCGGGCTTTTGAAGCAAGCTAGAACTTCTACAGATCTATGTAACGATGCGCAAGTGAGGTTAGATGCTGCTGACGCCTTCCTTTCAGCGGGAGCATCGAAACGGGGCTCACCAGCGAGAGTTAGCCCCGTTCTACTCTTTTCGTTTCAGATTCTGTCGTAGGACGAGAAGCGGAAGTCCGAGTCAAGCCAGTGCTTACTTGCCGCGCAAGACCACACTTGCCGCACTGCGCCCACTTATTGAGCAGAACACGTTTCGGCTTCACCAATTTGCATGAAATGTTGCAGAAACGTCGTCCTCAGTTCTCCTTAGATGCTCACGTTAAACGTGCTCGTGTTGGTGGCTGGCTTCATCCCTCATCATCCTTGGGCACTCGAAGTACGTCACGGGCTTGAATAGATCCTGGCAAGAAGAGGCATAATCCTGACTGGCCAGAGGTGGGACGAAGTACGTGAGCCAGTTCTTCACATGCTCTTTTTTTCCTGTTTCGTCGCCCATCCAGAAAGAGGGCGGGTAGCGTAGAACAAAGTGCAGAGTTCACTGAATACATCCCGCGGCAAGGTATCCACTTGCCTTGCCCCACTTCGGGTGAACCTATCTCAACTTTTGCTTCGACTGAGCAGCCCCTACTACCATCTCGCCCCCCATGATTATCTTGGAGGCACTGATTTGACAGTGTATGGTCATCAGATTGATGGCCACGCTTCAAGGTCTCGAGACGAATGAGCCCCTGATTGCGTCCCTTTACATAAGTAGTTCTTGGAATTCTTTCCAGGAGTTTATCTTTGCCAAAGAGTTTATTTCAGACTCGAAATGAACCTCGCATTGACATGTACTAAGTGGCGCTGGGGCCAGTCGAACACCACTGCTAAGTATGACTTGTTACCGAGAAATTTATATTCGCCGTTTAATCATCTAGCTCGATCTGACAGATCTGGTCTAGTCTCTGGTAAGCTCAAAAGATGTACAATCATGATTTAGGCAGCTTTCCGCTTCGCAACTGTTGGTCATAGCGTGTCGAAGCGGTTGACTAGGAAGGATCACTGGATAATCAGTGCATCATCCTGACAGGTTACCGAAGCATGCGTCTCTTTTATTGTCGAAGTAAGCCCGCATTATTAACTGCGTCGACATGTCACTTGCAGAATCGTCCTTGACGCTTCCCGAATTCGAGCTGGGGATTCAGTTTGTGCATGATGCGAAGGCGCTTATTTCTTGAATACTCTCCTGTCCGAGTACCAGGAGGCGTTCTCGGCTTGGAAGTCCGGAACTTTCAAAAAGGAATTCCGGAACGAGCCGATTGACCGAGTTACGTCAACCTGGTTTCCAGTGCTCGACATCTTTCGATGTGTTCCCCGCTTGGCCAATCTCAGTCAACCACCAGAATCAGCGCTCCCCAGCCCCTTGTCAGGCGCGGCAGTGACGATGTACGCTGGGGTTCACCCACGCCAGGGATTCCGTACTGAGCCATGTGACGCACCTGTTTTCGTCATAGTCAGGCCGTTTTTTCCCATTGGGCACTCACGATTGACGAAAATAAGTTGCAGGGATCAAGACTTGCTTGACTTCTGCCTGTGCGCTTTATCATCAAAATTTCTGACCTAGCATGCCGTTTCTCTCCTTTTGGAGACCATTGCGGTAGAGCGGGTATTTTTTGCGCGCTTCGGAGCCGTGCGTCGCTCAAAATCTCTCCTTTCCCTCCGAAGTCCAGACCACACGTTCTTCCGACCTCAACTCCTCCATCCTCCGGCCGTTTGACGAAACCAGGCTGTCAGATTTCGCTTGCAGCGCAACATTTCTTTCTATTGTGAAAACACTGTCGAGTCCCTCAGTTCGCCTGGCCATGTAAGGCTGATCCGCTTCAATCAATTCGCCGGGAATGTTTGGGTTATTCTTCCCCGCCAGCGTGCAGGTGGATGTTTTCAAACCCTTTTAAATGGTTTGACGAAGAATCTTCCTTGGTGAGGGACCTGCACTGGTCTTCGAGGCTAGCAAAAAAAGTCCGAGATCAGATGGCAACGGGCTTCTGTCAACGCGGAGAATCCTTCTCCTGCAAATACCGAACCACGTCCTGCTGGGCAATGACGCACTGCGCTTTGATCCAGACACAAGTTGGTCAATCAGGGGATTGTGTTGTCGCTGAGCCAGCGTCTTCCGGCCAGAAGACGTCCTTTGGAAGAAGTAGTTTTTCAAGCAGAGCGGCTCGAAGTGGTATTCTTCATGCAGACGGATGACTTGACCCCGAGAAAGTTTTGCTGCAGAGTTGAAGCGGCTGCGGCCGTAAGTAGTGAACCGCCCAAGTCGCGCTTGCGTACCCACACGCGCGCCTTTGCTATTGTTCCGCTTCGAGGAACAGGCGCGTTCAGATCGTGCACCCTGCATTAGAAACTTTGATCCAGATGCATGCTGCATCTTCAAGTCTGTTACCAACGCATTTCAGTACTTTCGGGCACTGCTTGGCCACCGCGGAATTGGAAGTGTGGAAGCAAAAATGATTTCTTGAATAATCTATTGCAATCTGACCGTTTAGATTCGACCTTCCACCTTTCTGAGCGGCTCTACATCATGCGGCAGACGTGCGAGACACCAGCACGCGCGCTTTGTCGTGACCGGCGTTCGGTGTCCATTTACGCATGGACACCATTCTGCATGGCGACTTGAATGGCGGGTTCAATCTGGAGGTATTTCAGGCAACTGTGTCGGCGACCTGAAAGTAGTAAGTCTCGCAAACTGGTGGCATTGTGAAGCGCTGCAACGATTGGTGTTCGGCCCTTATCTGTCGCTGCTTGGGGATCCGGCCACCCGCGTTCTCTTTGTTGCATCAAGAGCAATCAAAAATTCGAGCCGTCCAATACAGCAACACTTACCGTCATGAGAGGTGCAGTTCATCGGGCAAACCCCGAGGACTGTAGGGTGCCCCGTACAGCCGCCGCATGAGCCGCCGAGTGCACGACCCGCAAGAGTGTACATCTGTTTCTGGTCTTCTCGACAGGGTCAGTTTTCTGCGCTCACAAGCGGTCTTTGCCGCAAGCGTGTGCCAAGCAGCGGTTGTTGAGGGCCCGCAAATGTTAGAAAGAAGTATACGGCCGACGTGGTTGCCGGCAGAAATAAAACATGCATCACAAGCAACATTATCCTATATCTGCGTCCAACTTATGAGAGCAGTTTTCAGCATTCACGCCTAGCTTTATTGCCACGTGTCATCTGGTTTGGAGCTAAACTTCAAGTGGGGGTGATGCAAGGGCCCTTGATCGGACTGTGAGCTCTGAAGTACTACAGCTCACTTGTTCATAGCCCTGGAAGCCCCAGAATGGGAGCCGACCGGTCTCTGCCTTCGCCTCGTCTGCATTGGGATGCCATTGCGGACTTTGCTGGGTGAATGTCCAAACGAGCTCAGCTTCACGGGCCCGTACGTCTTCTGATCGTCTGCCCATGAAGCGTTCAGTATCGACACCCAATCCAATTGCTTCGTTGACGACTTTCCTTTCGCCGCCAAAAGGAAATGAATGAAACGTTAGCAGGGGTTGTATACATTGGACGGATGAAGTCAATGATATCGAAATTACTCGCGAGTAGCTAGACCCATCAACGGCACAGTCTGCAAATGGGTCGTTCCTGGCCACGCGCAATACGCCTCATGATTTGACCAAGTCTGACGATCCAGAAAGTAAGTTGTATTATAATGACCTGATCAATAGCCATTTATGCAAGGTCCTACTAATCCGGTCGACAGACTCTGCCAGCATTGCCGAGGCAGCACTATCAGTAGAGCCAATCCTTGCGCTGAGTAGACGAGCGACTCTGCTCATGACGGAAAAATGATTTTCTGGCAACTCGATTTCGATGGTGGAATTTGTCAGCTTGGCGCGGAAAACCACTGGTGGGAGCGGCAAAGAAGACAACAGCCTCAGCTGTAAGGGACTGATCGGTCATGAGCTCCTCGGCAGCTCAAGTCCTGCTTCTCATCGGCGGTGCACGAGCCGTACCGGAACGTTTGGACTTTACAAGGCCCAGGACCAATATCTGATCATGAACCCGGATAAATATAAAGTACGACGGTAGATCAATTTAAAGGAGCCTATCGACTTGACTTTTGAAATGCAAGTAACGTGGCTCATATTTTACTGTCGTGATGGCTGCCTTGCTTTGATCTTGCAAAAATATGATTGGCAGATTGGCTCAGTGGTTTTGAGGTCGTGTAAGAGAAGAAGAAGAGAAGACGACACCCTTTTTCCAGTGCTTACTACTTGATTACTTTGTACTTATGAACATCATATATATTGCTGAATCGACACTGTTCACACGTATATGTCAGATCATCTTCATTATATAAAACGCATTGATCATGAACTCAGCCACGTCTTCACGTCTGCATAGTTGCAAGGAACTCGAACCTCCCATCTTCTTCCGCAGGTCACCCTCAAACCCAGTCCCGCTGACCCGAACAATCTGAAAGATGTCGACATTGAGGGGACGGGTGCCGCGGTGCAGTCGGCGGCGTCGCTGATCCAGCGCACTCTGGCGGATAAGCTGAACAACCCTGGGGGCAGCCGGCCGGGGGCGGGCGCGGCGTCGCCCTTCTTCAAGACGAGGATGTGCGAGAAGTTCATGCAGGGGGCGTGCACATTCGGGGACAAGTAAGTTCATCTACATGTATCCTTTCTGTTTACAATTTCTCGGATCGAAAACCCACTGGACGCGCTTCGTAACATGCATTTCGTGTCCAGAGTCCTGGGACAACGAGTTCTTGTTTGGGGTCGATGATCTTAGATAAATACTTGGCTGCCCACGCAACACGTTAGATGCACGCAAAATCCCGACGTAGGCGCAATAACTGAGTGTGCCTTGAAAATGCGATCCTAAGTTCCGGAAGCCCACGGACAGTACGTCGGTCAGGCTCGAGTGTCGTCCTCGAAAGGGGGAAGGGATCCCTCTGGGAGGCTAACGATGCTCGACCGTTCGATGTAGAGTAAGTTGCCGATTTCATCGATTTCATCATTTCAACGGCTCAAAGTACTACCTTGAGGACAACTGCTTCAAATTGTTTCATCACACTAGTTCTCAGCCGCTTGGCAGCACAGCTGATTCTCTGCAGCGCCGGCTGCATCATGCCTTCAAAGGTCAGCTGCAGGAACAGAATTCTGCAAGCAACTAGCTGCTATAGAACAGTTACCATTGAGAAGGTGCAAGAAGTGCTCCAGCCTTTTTGAAAAGTTGGAGCTGTGAGCTATCTGGCCTTTGGAGACTTTGAGTGCTCCTTTGCGGGGCATGGCCCCTCCTCTCGGCACCATGGATGCCCCCGAAACGCCCTGCCTGATTGACAGGTGGCGACGCCCCTACACGCCTGGGCTTTTCACACCTGAGGAGTTTGAGCAATACTGGACGCTTGGGTTTGTCTTGAAGAAGGACGTGTTTGCCCCCGAGGAATTGGAGCCAGCTCGAGAAGCAGTGAACAGGTCAGTATTTGAGTATACATGTACATGAGTAGTAAGTTTTGCTCAGGTTTTAGGGCTTTGCTAACACAATAGTGATTCAGCTTATTCAGAATCCGAGTCTTCTACAGGCAGTTTTGAGGTGTTGGTTTGAGGTTTATCCTTCTTTCTAGGCAATATCTTGGTATGCTGTGGACTTCAGCGGATAACCCTCAGAGTTCTTATTGACTTCACAAAGTCACAGCATTCTCTTTCTTCTCACATTTACTGGCATCTGCTGCAATTGTCATGTGTCAACATCACGACCAGCATGAAAAGTTGCAATTGAAAAAGACAATGAGAAATACAACCTGGTTCTGAGAAAGGATTTCCCCCTCAAGCAACCTTGTACTCTTAGGAAGAACCCGGCGGAGGCGAGGTGGCCTCCGAAGGTTGAGACTGTCCTACACTTCACAAAGTCTACCTACATCTTCCCAGCTCGTGTTCTTCTTGAGATATCGTATGTATGACGAGTCTCCAAGTGCGATTCCTGCCCATGTCCTGCTTTGAAAACCCCTCTGCCAATCTTGAAAGCTGGAAACATTGAATTGTCACCTGCCATCTTTTCCCCAAACACATCTTTTGACCCGACCTCACATCTGCAATGACCGTTGAAATGGTTTCCCCCTTTTCTGCTTCCAACGCTTGTACTTTATCTGGTTATTTAAGGGACTACTCAGAGCTTAGTACCACCGCCAAATCATTTTGCCTATACGCGCGCGATGGCTGAGGTCCTACAATCACAATCACCCGCCCTTGACAGCAATCTGCTTCTTTTTCACAATCTTCACACCCTTGAGGGAGGGCTTTTTCAAAGATGGGCAGCTGTGAGGCCTAACAACCAATAAAAACAAAATCTCACACTCTTGGAGGGCTTTGTCAAAAGAGGGGCAGCTGTGAGGCCTAATAAACACAAAACTTCTTGTTTAAGATCCTAAGTTCTGTGGAATTCATTCCTTGTAGGGGAGTTGCAGACATTGCAGACGACCTGTTCAAAGCCGGCAAGATCAAGAACAAACACGAGGACGCACCGCTTGAAACGCGGCTGACGTTGATTGAGGAGCAGTTTCCCTCGGCGAGCGTGTTGTTGCATAAGCGGGGGGTGCTTCCCAAGGAGTTCCAAGCCCTGTGGACGGACCCCCGGTTGATGAGCGTGGCCCGACAGCTGCTCGGAGGTGCGGTTTTTGAACCCATGTTTTCGTATCCTGCAACTGATGAATGGCATTCAACGCAAGTTCTATTAGCTGGGGTCTAAATTTCGATTGATTGCCTGTGAATCTATGGGGGCTTTCAAAGGAGCCGACAACGCTTGGCAGTCCGCTTCCTCATCGATTCTTGTCCTCGACGATTACTTTGTGTGAAAGAATGTACGCAGTTTGTAATCGACTCAGAAGCGGATGAGGACAGGTGTGATTGATCTGTGGCGCTCCCAAGAAGGGCCAGCAGTTCTTGTTACCCCTCTTGCAGTGTTCAGAAGCTATGGCAGACCTTGGTCTTGAAAAGAGACCAAACCGGAAAGTCACCTTGAATTGCCATCTGATACGGGACAGGATTGTAAACCTTTGCATAGTAGATTGACCATCTTGTCGAAGCCACTTTGGAAGAGACCTCAAGATTAGAGTGCATGTAACAGATCTCAGGCTCCCACTGATTCTGGTCCAAAGTTATTGCCAAACTTGTTCCATAAGACCTCTCATGCTGGATCCGGGTTGTTGTAAGGCGAATCCCCCTGTTTGCCAATGGAAGCCGTTTCTGGAACTCCTAAGCAGTCAAAAATAAAGGTCTCAATGAAGCTTGCTGAGAAAGTTCCACGACAAGTTTTTAGAGAAGCCAGGAACTACGAGATTCGCACGAATGTATTTAGTGTCCTCTGCAGATGACATTGGGGGCCATCCGGTTTGGAACTTGCGGCCCAAGACACCTCAGCAGGAGCAGGCGACAGTTCCGTGGCACCAGGTGACATTCTGGCTCTTTTGGGAGCAGCTTTACGAGTACTTCTTCTGATCAGTCTCGTTTCTGGATCGAAGGGTTTGCTTCTGAATTGGGACTGTCCGTAGAAAAGCGGCGAAGCCTCCACTCGATTCCTTGATGGCACCCGACCTGTTTCAAAAACGGAGTCAAAGCCACGAACTTCAATTCGTCATTTGTGGGAGTCGTCAAGGAAAAGAAGCCATGGAAGCGGTACATCGAGCAGGAGGATCCAGAATGTCAGTCAGACTTTGAGCTTGAGCAGTCCTCAGACCAGGTACAGAATGGATCCTTTCCAGACCTGTGCCCGACACGGGTCAAGGTCCCGTTTTCAAGCCCTCAGGGAGCTTCCAGATGCCATTCGCAGGCCCCTCGTTACCGTACGCGTCAATGAGCTCTCGAGCCTCTGAAAGTGATATGCGAGGTACTTGGACATTGTGCTTAATTGAAAGGTCCGCAAGGGCACAGCCTGCCTGCCGCGTGGATTTGGAGAACTTGACTAGATTGCCTGAGACGTTCTTCTTCGACGACATGGTGCCACTTGGACTCGCTTCCACTAGCGTTTGAACCCCTTGATCTAACGACCTTTCTCATTGCACAGTCACAGCACACATACCATCATCTCTTTCGTGTCGCTTTTCTGTATTTAAAACAAGGCTTTCTATTCCCAGAGCCCTCGGAAGGACCTCATCTGTTGGCCCGTTTGTTGGCCCCTATCCCATATTGCAAGAGCGCTTTTTGCTGGCCCGGCGGCTGTTCCAGCTCCATCAAGTAAACTTCGAGATCACAGTTCCAAGCCACCCCACGAATCCTGTCGAAACCCTGTCGAAACCCTTCAACAAACACAGAAATCTATTACATACTCTATCCATCTTCCGCACAGGACGCCGCGTATCTGGACAAGGTCGCCTGGGAGGTGCACCAGGTGACGGCGTGGATTCCGCTCGTTCCGGCCTCCGAGCGGAACGGATGCATGCAGGTCGTCCCGGGGGGGCACCGGACGGGGCGGACCGCAAAGCACACCTGCTGTGCTGGGGGTACCTGGTAAGAGCGCGCTAGAGGGATCCCTCGAGCTTTGTTGTCTGGGCTCTCGTTTGTTGTTGCAACTGCTAGTGAACGGAATGTCGGTGCACACCGGTAGTGCCAGAGAAATTCGAGCGCGAGCAACGGCCACAGCGCCTTTGGGTTTGTGGAAGGGGGCCGATAAACGAGTCAGAAAACCGGTGCAGAGCACACGTTGGTGATGTATTCAAGAGGCAAGTGAGGGCGACTGCTGTCCGGCAAGAAGCTTCTGATGCTAAATAATGAAAACCTTGCACTTCGTTGTCAAGGCTTTCGTTAAAGCGTACAATTCAAGTACGTAAAGCCGATACTATGCGTACAAACTGGAACACGATGTCTTTTCAGAGGTGCTCAGCTCCCCTCGTGCAGATGCAAATGTTCATCCAAGAAGTTAGTGGACAGCCTTCAAGAAGCTCACGCGTTCTTTTTAGGTACGTCGAACTGGACGAAACTGACGCCGCACAAACTTTGGGGGTGGACCTCCAGTCTGCCGCCCTGACTTGCGAGGTCCCCCTGGGAGGGGTCCTTTTCCTGAACAACATTCTGCCGCACCGTTCGCTGAACAACCTGAGCGACGGCATCCGGTGGTCGCTGGATTTGCGGTGGCAGAAATGGGACCAGCCCGCGGGGTTTTACGGGTTAAAGGAGGTTATCCCGATGACCAAGTCGGGTCAACCAGGTGAGCTCGACGCTTCCACTTCTGCGGGTTTAGTAAAATGGGAGGAACTAGTATGGGGGCGACAAGCACACCAAGAAGCTATTGGGAGTGGACATCCCCTCGGTACGTCGTTTACTGGAGAGTTGATGGGGTTTGTTTGAGATAGAAAACAAGACACCTGATTGCTTTGCAGTCTAGTGCATTTTTAGCACTTGTGCCTTTAAGATTCTTTCCGTATTGGAGGACTATTATCTGACGAGGGGCGTCCCTCATATCAGGACAAGGTCATGCCGGGCATGTTTCCGTTACCGTTGCGGTCTTAAGGTTTTCACGTCTTTGAGCACCATCTTCTGATGAGGGGCGTCCTTCAAACCAAGAGAAGGTCATGCTGGCCATCTTTCCGTTCCTGACCTCGTGAAAAGTGTTGATCTCCTTTGCCACTGGTTGTCTTATTGCATCGGTACAGAGAAGCGCTAACAACTTTGCTCTCAAAGGTATCCAGGCCTTTCGGACGTATAAAAAACATCCCGACGGTGTGCTTTATCGAATCACCATCACTTCTTCCGCCCCGACCCGTTTTGGTTGACTACGTCAACTCTGAGGGTCCGCCTGCGAACACTTATCCATCCGACACTTTCAATTTTTCCACCAGGAAGCTAACGCCCATGTCCGCTTGCGAGTCTCTATTTCTTCGTCGACAACCTGCCCCACTTGAAACGCTTACGTCTATTCCTGCAACCGACTTGTGCCCCAAATGAAGCCGCCAACGCTCTACCTGCCCGAACTAACTCGCCTTTTTGCAATTGGGGGAACCAGTGTCACCTTTGGTCCGAGTCGAATGCGTCGCTCTGTCCTTGTTGCAGATTACAAAGTCGACTGGGACGGGTGGGCGAACCTCAGCCGATCCGCCCTCCAAGAAGGCATCCTTAAACCCGAAACGAAGAGCCTCGTCGAGACCGTCAAAGCAATTGATGCTTCCCACGTGGTTGAGCCCGTCTTGAAGATTGACGGCGTATCTAGTGTCATGCTCAGCGTCGCTAAAAGCCCCGACTCGCCGACGAGCACATTGGGGGATCCCTTTGACACTACGATTGCGGGGCCGTGGATGGACCAGTGGCCGATCGTCTTCCACAATAGGCACACGGAGCGGCATGAGCGGGGTTCGGTTCAGGGATGGCATAAGGCGTAGGCCAGAGTTTTGAGGACACGACGGAAAGCAAGAAAGGGTTGGCGTCTGTTGCACACGCTCAAGAAGGGTCCTGACAGAGCATTCAGGAGTTGTGGCCGTCTTAGCGTCATCGGAATTCTGCACCTGGTGGAAAAGACCGTGTCGATAAAAATGTGTTGCGGCCTTGGTCTGCGCCTCTCATAAAGGTACGAGGCGCTACCAGGTTAGCGGTGTGAGTGTGTCCAAGTAACTGAGCCAAATACCGTGCCAAGTTTCTAGTAGGCATTGGATTATTATACACTCTACGTGTTTGTAAAGACAACTCGTTATATACGAAGCAGCATAACCATTAGTGTAGTTTGAGGCCATACGGATCCGACATGTCCAAGTCTGGTTTTAATGGTTGATGAGCGCTGGCATATATTCTTCAGATGATTCGAGGATCGCTCAGGTCTTTCATTGGTACGTCACTCGCACAGAAAACGCGATCTTGCAGCTAACTGGCCCCGGACTCAGGCCTGTGCAGAACCGCATATGCTGTTTGCATTGAACTTCTATGTGCGAGTCCAGATCCAAATCAGTAATACAATGACGAGTACCTGGCATCCGACCGGAGCGCCAACTTCAGGGCCTCTGTGATACTACACTTCGATCATAAAGCTAGCAATACATATCCAGGCTACTGCATTGCATCATAACCTTGTATCATCATAAGGATGTAAGAATTTGGCGCTTAGGCCGTCATGTGCAAATCTTGTTGCCCGCCGTCAATCGCCCAAGTCTCGGGCGCCCAACTTAGCACCTTTCGACTGCAATTGCTAGCTATGATATGTACTGTGGAATATCGGCGCAGAAGGGCCCTATAGAATCCACCCCCGGCCTGTCTCAGACTGGCCGCCAGCGCGACGAGGCCGCGTAAGCACCCTTTGACGCGGTCGAATGTAGCAGCTGCCTGCATAGCATTTGTCAAATCATGCTGTTATAGTCTGCAAGTTGCAATATATATATACGAGGCCCATCGTGAGTCCGTCGTGGCCCGTCGTCGGACATGCCATGATGGCTAGCTAGTATAAGCTTCGATCTCTTCATATGCGAGCATGCGCCGCATGACTGATGTGTTTGGCACGTGATACAAGTTGCGCATCCGATCCATTGAAGGCCGGGCTAGCTAATTATTGCTAGGCGCGGCTGCCGCCTTGGTATACATTCCCATGAGCTAGCCGGAACTCTACCCAACTTGAAAAGGGTGCTAGCTCAATAGCTACATAGCCCCTGGTACGATTTTTCAAGGCTTTGTCACGGTCACCGTGAGCAGGTACCATGTACCATGGTGCAAGTTTTGACATGGCATCATCTCGGATTTGGCCCCTCGACAAAGCTTCAGGCTTGTGTTGCAAAACAGCCCTGAGTATGCAGGGCCTTTCAAGTTTGCCTACTTATCATCGACATGCGATGACTTGGAACACGGCCATTATGCATATCAGATCGGATCATTGCGTTTGTTCTCCAAAGTGCCGTTGGATCTGAACCTGCCAGTGATCTTCCTTCATTGCACGCAGCTGCCAAAATCTCATCGCAAGCACGGACTCGAGCACACGGGCACACCGTGACTTCGACTCACAATGCCATGCAACTTTGTGATGTGCTTCAAGGACCAATTTCGCTCACGCTTAACGATGGCATCTTGTCCTTCAGGTGAAAGAATCTTTGGCTAGCCTCCTGGCTATCTTCCTTATCCTCAACGCCAAACATGTTAAGCACACAGCGAAACTGCAAGTGCATCAGCTTGGGGCTTACCTCGACCAGCTCTAGACACGTTCCTACTTGTTCTGAGGTCCAAGCATCAGCTGTCAACACTAGGAGATTTTCAAATACAGGAAAGCCCTTTCCTCTAACAGAACGCGCAAGATGAAGTAAGGTCTTCGCATTGATGCTAAGCTCCTTCACGTTTGCCAAGCAAGTCAGGATGGAGGCCATGGTGTGTTGCTCGCCTTTGAAATCCAAGTACCGGAAGTCGGCTACCTCCAGGTCCTTGGAATTCTTAAGCAGACCAAGGAGTTCATCTTCATCGAAGGTTTGATTAGCTGCTAATCTCCTCAACTTCCATGGCCTGGGTAGCACGAACGGGCCTGGATAATCTGAATACAAATCAAGGCTAGTCAGCTCAGGAGCATCTATCCTCATTTTCCTGTCCACATCCGGCCGCAGGTGTAGAGATAGTAGACATGGAGCGTCGATCTCCACGCGGCCTAGTTCCAGCATCCTGACATCCTCGTTAACCTCAAGACCGACCATGTTATAATCTAGGAACAAGTGCTTAAGTGAGGTCGAGCTAATATTGGTCACAACTCCTAAGCAGTGTTCGCCATCGATATGCAGGGAAAGCTTCTCTAGATTGGGGGCCGCTTGCACAAGACTGGCTAAGGAGCTGTCATTGCTGGATTGAATGATGGAAAGGTGAAGCTCCTTTAGACTGGCGGACAGCTTGTTGATGGGCCTGTTGATGGAGAAGTGGCAATACTCAAGGATCAGGCACTCAAGGCGAGGACACTTCGTAAGCAGTTGCTCCAACACGTCGAGCGGGTTGTTCGGCTGCAGCAGATAACCGTTCCGAAGGCAGAAGCGCTCCAACCGCGGGGGAAAACACACCACCCCGGCCAAGTAGCCGCTGGAGAAGCACTGCTGGAGGGGATGGGAATTCTCATTATCCTCAGGATCATTATAGGCGAGATACAGCGCTCTCAGACTATCCATCTTCCGAAGGAACCAGATCAAATGTGCGTCAACTGCAGGTGCATCATCCAGATTACAGACGAGCTCCTCAACGTCAGGTGCCAGCCGATTGAAGCGTGAGCACACAGTTCTAAGCTTGGAGAGCTCTGCAAAGTCGGATGCAGCGCGCGAATGCACGTAAGGTTCGGAATTGAACCGCTCCGGCTGCTCAAAAGTCATCGCCGCAGCCCTGCCTATTATTCTGGCGAGGATGCTGTCGGGCAGAGTATCCATGGGACAGTCGCTGGGAGCCATGAGAGCCGCCGCCACCGCCTACTCTATGCTTCCAGAGTGACAGTGTTCACTCTGCTTCAGTCTTCAGTCTCAGATTTGTGCAGCAAGATCGAGCCTATGGAAGTTGGCCTCCCTAACCAGGTAGGTTAGAATAGGGTTTAGCTATCCTGGCTGGGCAATGAAACGGTTAACGCGTACGCTCGCGCACGCCCGAGAGCACACACGCAGCCCGCGCGCGTCCGACGACACGATCTACAATCAAGAGCTCAGTGCAGCAAGTACGACGAAGTAGACTCCTTTTGTTAGTGTCTCACTGGCTTTCAAAAAGTGTGAAAACATCTTACACGCGGGATCATAGGTTCGAAGGGTATCCGCGTGGACCGTACTGTCAGATCAGGTCCTTTGCACATAAATGCGTCAGAATGCCAGGTTTTACCGTGCACTTTGCGGTACGGATTCTAGTACGGATGGAACCAGGTCAGGATAAATGGCTTACAAGTTACAACACTAAAACCAAAAGAACTCTGCCCGGTTGTCACTGTCAGTGAGTAACCCTAATGTCACTCGGAAATGGCGTAACCTTAACAAATTGCGCTCGTCGATTTGCGTGAACCGTCACAGGTTTGCAGTAACCCTAATGTCACAGTAAGTGCCCCGGGTCCAAGTCAATGTCAATGTCGATGTCAATGTCGATGTCGGTCTCCTTGTCAACGTTGTAACCACTCCCGTAACCACTGACAGATTGCAACAATTGTCACACTTCAGGTGCTTCCAGGTGGGTTGAGTGTTGTTCACACCAATCAGAGTGGCGGAGACACTAACAAAAGGAGTCTACTTTGATAGTTTTGCCTCAGTGCATGGTCCAGCTGGGTAAAGAAACGAAAATGTGCAACCTCTGCAACCTCTGCTGCTGAACAACATTTGAAAGAACGGTCGTAGGCCGGGCCTCAGCGCCCTGACAATGCGATGGCTACGGTGCACGGCATTGAACTCTGCGTACACCTCCGGTAGCTTGAACATCGAATCGAGCTTCTAGTAACGGAAAGGGGAAATGCGTTGCATGCCGAACTTACTCACTAGTATTGGCTGCATGTATGCAAGTGCGGCGCATGGAAATAAACAGGCCGGAGTGTGAAAGTTAGCTCGGATATATCAAAGTGACTGCCAGGATTGAGCTCATTTAGGCACAGGTTTGAAGCATGCCAGTAGGGCTTACTTGCTAAGGGCATCTGACCTTTTCAAGCTCCTACTTCAATTCACATGGTTGTGTCCCGCCAAAAACGGGGTATGTACGACTCCTACCCAAAGCTGGATCGTCCTAGACTTTGAAACACGCGATCTGTGAATCAGTTCCAATGCTAACAAAGTGCTAGGCACAATCCTTATTCAATGCCTATAAACTCTATCCAAAAGCTACGAGACCAACAACTTTGTCCGAGTCCAGAACCCTATCTATCAACGCTAATTTACGACTAGGGCTGGTTTGAGCTATGCTTATTTCAACTTATAAAGCCGTCACAGTCAATGGTGGCGGGTTTGGGTCCCCTTCTACTCCTTCCCAGACATCTTGTTTAGTGACTTTTGGTTCTATTCAATTACAGTACGGTGATATCCCCGTTCCGCCACTAGTTTGTCGAGGTAGGCAAGAACCTGCATTTTAAAGTCGGGGAGGCGGCTGTCAGCTCGTGAACAAAAGGAGGTTTGTTTTGGAGAGTATAGCCCGGGGACGGAATCAAAAAAGTGCCAGATCAGGGATTTGCGAAAGCTCCTCGACAGAACAGCGGACAAAGGTAAGTTTCGGATGCTCGCATCCCCTTGAAAATTCGGAGCAAACGGCGAATCAAAACGGAAATATCCGGCAAAGTGGACCAAGCATAACGGCCATCACACCTTGCGCATCTTAGGAGACCGTCAAGGTCCCCTTCCAGATCGTCCAAGAACGTCCCACTCAGAATCCCAAAGTAGATGGGTGTCACGACGCAAAACACCAGCATCTATCGTCCCCCCATCTTTGCGCTTGCCAGGACTTCGCCACTTTCTCCGTCCAACGAAACGTCCAGAGACTCGTCAGGTACTCTCCAGAGTGGAAACTGAGCCCATCGTTGCAAGTAAGCAGTGAACTCTGGTACTGATATTCCCACAAGTTCTCAATCAAAACACCAGGAAGGGTTCCCACGCCGCAGAGTAATGTACGTCGCGTCTCCTCACCATGTCTTTCCGCTTCAATAGTCCGTCCATCTCCTTGTCCGACAGGACGTCCGAAAACTTGTCCGCGATTTGACTCTTCTCCAGGAAGCGCAGCCGCAAGTACGTCCGCGCGGACACGCACCGCACCGACCCCGTCTGGAACGCGTTCTCGTGCTCCATGTGAACCACGGCCTCCTAGTAAACCAGAAAACGCAGATTCAGGCTCGGTTTTCGGTCTTTTTTTTGGACTTCTGGGTTTACGCACCGTCGATAGACGACAGGCGATGGATCGTACTCCTGTGTTATTGAGTCATGAGCTTGTGCAAACGGAATGTTCTGGAATGCGTACCCGTGCTTCATGTGTACAACGGCCTCCTTCATAACCAGATAACCCAAGCTCAGTTTCACGTTCCCATCCGTTCACTGATGTTCTAGGTTTTACGCCCAGTAGTCTAGACTACGAGGTGTGGGATAATCACGCATTTGTGGATTCCAAGACACGTTCCTTATAACCCTTGCGCACTACAGTCCCCTGCTTGGATTCTTCACTTTTGCAGGGACCCGACAAGAAAGTTTTGCAGATATGTTGCAAAGCAGAGCAAGCGTTGCTCATTCAGAAACTATAACCACATAACCTCTTTACTTTGCAAAACCCACAAAGTTTTGGTAGCGTGCTTTCACCAGGGAGAAGCACCGGAAGAGGAGTCCGAGGCGCTGCTAAAGATACATCTAGATAATCTACACCCCTGAAGCCCCTGAAATCGACACTTGTCGATCAATCAATGAGCACCGGACACATCTTGCCGTCTGCCCAAATTTCCCCGATTCGAGTGTATCCAAAGTGGCCGTCTGATGAGCAGAAGCCCACTCTAGAATTCTAGTCCTAAACAGGATGAAGTTCCTGAGAGCTGAAACGCACCTTGCGAAACCCTGCTGCGTGGTCAATAAGCACCGGCCACATCTTGCCGTCTGCCCAGTGTTCGCCAAACAGAAAGTGTCCGGCGTGGCGGTCCGAGTTGTTGAGCAGCACGTCGATGACACGTGTATCGCTCAGGAGGCGCGCGACCGAGACGCCCCAACTAGCGGCGGGCACTTTTTTGAGCGGCTTGGTGCGGGGGACGAAGTAGATAAAGGCGCCCTCGTCAAAGTGGCGGTAGTTCACGTCGATGCCGGACTTGCGGTATGCGACCTGGCGCGGCAACAATAACCCTGTCAGCTTTTCGTGGGCGGATTTTCCGTGGAGATTATCCTTTGCTTCGAGATTCAGGAAGTCTGCTAGGGTGCACTTGTTGACGTGCTGGAGGTTCACGAACATGCCAGACTTGACGTATGCAACCAGTAAGCTTTCATCGATGCAATAGATGACATCAATGCTCAAATTGTGGTGAAAATGCGTGCCTCAGCCAGCAGTCACTCTGCTTCTATCGAAGCGGCAATCTTTCCAACTGGACGTGGAACCTCCCTTAACTTTCGAAAGAGACCCTCTCAGATGACCTTCTCAAAAGTGTTACAGATGAAGAACAGTCAAGGGGTCCTTGAGGGTTCCCTTGATATTCCGGAATCAAGGGCACTGACCATAGAGAGAATTGCTAGAGCGAAGTAGAGTGGCGCTTCACCGGAGGGACGTAGTCCATGCCTAGCATGAGGTTGAGCTCATAAGCTATGAGCTCGACCGGCGCCCTATGCCACCCGTCTGCGTCCCCCTCCACTTTCGGCTTGAAGAGTGCCGTTACCTGTCCAAGTGAGCGTGGCGAGACACAGTGAGCATATTTGAAATTTGGGGGGGGATTCATGATCATAGCTTGTAGAAATCGGGAACCCCACGAGTGGTGGACACAGAACAAAGTAGCAGGATGGAGCCTCGTAAATCCATCTTGACTATATCGTCAGCGTCAAGCGTAACACTAGGTGCCTACTTGAGATGAAAGGGACAGATTCGTTAAAGTCTCCCTTGTCAAGCAAAAGCCTGCAGCTACTTGCAGACTGTTTCCAGCAACTCGCATGTGGATCCCCCTCCACATGATTATGCAGGAAGTACATATGTTGATGTACGCCCAACAACTCTGATCACCTGAGGTGCACCTAGCTCATCTGAGAAGTACGTTCTGACACTTCAAGACTCTGCTCTGAAATGCACGCCAATTCCGAAGCGAGTGTGGCGGCCAGCCCACTCAACTCTTATGTGGCACAGTTCGGGAACCCTTGTGTCCAGCAACAGTCTCAAAATTTCGAAAAGAAAACCAGCGGCTTGAACACGTGAAAGATGTTCGACTACCCCGCCACTTATCTTGTCCAACACTTCGATGACAGTGCTCTTGTGCCCGACAAGCGCCACGTGTCGCTTACGAAACCTAAATCAGGGGTATCATGCGGCTACAGTCAACCCACCTTCTTGTCGCTGTTCTTGTCCAGCAGCTCGACGACGAAGCTCTCATGTCCGAACGTGCTGGGGGGCTCCATCGGGCGCGCGGACACGATCTTTCCCGTCGCCAGGACGTCCAGAATCTCGCGGTGCTTCTCAGCCACGTCTGGAGACGCCTGCACCCGATCGGGCGCCAAAACGCTTGAGCTTCTCAAGACCTTTTTGGGTAAGGTATAATTCCTTGACTCTCGAGGTGTTTTAAGTAGTGTCCAACCCCTTATACAGCACATATTGTATATGCTGCTGTAAAACATTTTTTCTAAACGAGACTGCTTGGGGGCTTGCGAAGCAAAGCGGACTAAAAGCCAAGCATCCTGCAAGCTCACATGACTTTGTTTGACTTCGACACAACGAACATTGTAAGCGGGTCGGCTGTCTGCAGACATTGATTCGCAGATCCATCAGACGCAGTCTTGTTGACTCCTCTGCAGAGCTGCAACCTACACTTTCAGACAGCGGACGCCAAACCTGCATCTTCCAAAACCAGAAACACGCATCCACCCACCTGCACCAGCTGCGCAACGCGGCTCTTGCTGAGGTCAGCGGCGGCCTCCGCCAACGAGTGAACCCCCAGAGCGACGAAGTCGTCCGAGTTGAGCGAGAGCATCGCAGCGGACGAGAGCGCATCGCCCGTGCACTGCACCGTGGTTTGCATGTCAATGACGGCCGTCCGGAGGTTGGGGTCCTTGCGGATGTACGTTTTGGTACAACCTGCGGGTTTAAATTGGGGGTTAGTGACATCCCTTCCGGCTTATTCGAGCACGCTGCAAACGACTGTCAGTGTCCATTGCACATGTCGATAACGGCTGTGCGGCACGCGGGGTCTAATGTACAGCTGGGAGGGTGTGTGTGAATCGCGAAGTTGGAGTTGAGCTTGAGACTAGACTCGTTGCACCGAATACAAGCCACTGGAGGGCGGCACTGTCTGCAAGTCCACACGAGACACAGTTGCCTGCCCGACTCGAAAAGCGGGTGTCAATCGACTTACATAGCGCTCCAGGGTGCGCCACCACGCACTCGTACTTCTCCGGCACCGCCACCGCGTCCGGCCCGAGTATTCTGGCCCCCTCCTCCAAACCCCCGAACCCTAACCCTCTTTCTAAACCCGCTTCGTCCACCTCCCGTCCATTTTCCCTCTCTACTTCCGCCAATCCCTTCCCTAAACCCTCCCCTAACCCCTGCGCTAAACCCTCTTCGACTGCGGCGCTCGTTTTAGGGGCGAAACCGATCACCGCTTCGAGTGCTTCCAGTGTGCTCGCTTGCTCTTGGATCTCGGCGAGTCGCGCAGCTTCGAGCGCGTGCCGTTCATCCTCCACCTTACGCATCTCTTCCATTCGCTGGTAGTCCTCCTTGATCTTCTCCTCACCTTGCCGCCGAAGCTCTTCGATTCGACGCAGCTCCTCCTGTATTGACAAAAAGGTAGGAGCAGTTCAAATCACGTTGTTCTGAGGTATGAGGACTTCTGCTTGCTCACTATTGCGGAAGCGCGAACTCAAAAGCGGTGAGGCATGAGAGACCGCTCATCTCAAGGTTGCAAGAAGGCCAGCAGAGACAAGCTTCTTAGGCCTGATTGACGAGAGTCCCTTCTGAGTCGCTGTCAAGTTGCTTTGTCAGCCGTTTACTATGTTTCGACATGGACCATCACAGAAACAATAGTAGAGCAATGATGAGAATCAGGTACTGAAGCTCTGTAAGACTGAATCCCAGTTCTATGATGTGAAAGAGCCACAAACCTCGAACATAGGCCCAACTAGTCGGAAGATCCAAACAAATGAGATCCAGAACCCCAACATTAAGAGAAGCTCAGCATAGCTCGATCTTTTCCCACCTGCTGTTGCAGCTGCACCGTCTTCCTCAGCTTCGCCATCTCAATCCTCGTCGAGTTTGCCCGTTCGGTAACCGCGCGGCTGGTCTCCTTAACCAGGCTCGCAAAGTGGTTAAGCTCCCTAACCATCGCGGCCTCCTGGCGCTCGATCGCCGCCACTTTGGCAGAGATCTCGTCCATGTCGGGGGGTTGGTCGGAGCTCGCTAACCCGTTTTGGTTAGCGCCGTTCTTTCCGTTGGGGACATCGTGCGTGCCATTTGCAGAGGCAGGAGCGGGCTGCAAATGATGACGGGGAAGTGAGCTCCACTCTTTCATAAATTTAGCATCGGGGAAGGCGTCAAAAAAGTAGCAAAAAAAGCGGCAGCATGGGGTTTGGTGGTTGGTTTGCGCAGCTTGAGTAGCTGGTTACCCTGGCAAACCAAAACTTTGGGAGTGCTAGTCAAGGGCAGGTTTGCAGTTGAGAAGCGAACCGGGGGGGAGTCTCTTATAACCAGCCATTGACCCTTCTTGACCGGAGGTCTGCTCCTTGTATTTTCGTATTGTCTTACCAAAACATATAGAATCGTTGTAGATGGGAAGCGCCCTCTCAACCAATCAGTATCTCAATCATCATTGTTCGACAAAGTCTATGCCCTTGCACATGGCACGTTATGACGTTCTTGTCTAATCTTTGAAACCGGAGGGCTTTTCCAGACTGCTTGGACGATTTCTCTGAATGGTTGCAGCATTCCACAGTCTGCATTTGCCTCTTGAACAGAGCTTGGGCTTGCTACGAATGACTGCTAGGTCTGCTTCATCGGTTATCTGTCTTCCTGAGCGATGGCTGGTGCGTGATGCGAATGCAAGCATCTCAACAGACCAATCTCTTCTGGCCGCTAGCTTTGGAAGAGCTGTAGCACCACCGCACTGTCATAGCAAATGCCCTCAGCTGTTACGACTTGTTTCCATGCTCCCCAAATGATCAAGAATCGCTTCCCTTTTCAGGCCCCCAAAGCAACAACCTACTTTTTACTTTTGCCCATTTCCTTCTGCATTGCCCTTTTCTCAAAGCGGCCGTAATCATTTCACGAGGTAATCAATCAATGATCAAGAACAGCACCCTGCGCGCAGAGTCGACCCTGATTGAGCACACGGCAAGTATCTTCAGGAAATGAGACCAAACTCCTGGAACGTGGTCAGCCAATGCATAGCTAGCCGATCCAAGCTCAACCTGCAGATGTGCCAAAATTTGGCTCAGCCATCTGGCCGCCATCCCCCATCAGTGCAACATCAGCAATTTTCGACATACCCACCTGTGCCGGTTCAGTGGTGCGGCTTGAGAATGGGAATGCTTGCACCCTGCACGTGTTGTTCCTTCTGGCCCTTTGGACCCTTCCTATTTCAGTAGCAGAATGCTGCAGCCCGGCACTTGATGTGGCGCATTTTAAACTAGAGGTGCATTTGCAAGAAAAGAATTGGGAACGGCTCTTCGCTTCCAGGTGCCGATTCCTACTAGGTTGACCAAACGTTTGCTCCAAGCTCTGAAGCACAGGAATGCAACCAGGAAAGAACTTATTTGCCGGCCGCCAGCCGCTTTTTGATAATACTTTTGAACCCTGGATCTCTCCAGAGACATTGGCAGAGCGGGAAACGGTCGCCCTATACGAGGCCGCCATGATCGGAATCAGTAGAGAGAGCGGCTCTTGAAAGAGCCGTTGTCATTAAAGGACTCCAGCATGGGCTGCTGGAACTGCACCAGAACAACTTCTCTTCTTCTCTTCTTGAGGCGGCTCTTTTGCAATTACCTACAGAAAGATCAGCAAATGCGGACACCCATGCTGCCGCAGCCTTGCAGAAATGCAGCTCCCTTTTGATTGCATGGCCTTCATGGTTATCTACCGTTCGTTTGTAGGCTGCCCAAGCTCCTCAACCGTCCGATATGTATCTAATATCTTCCCGCTCGCGCACCGGAGAAGTTGGAGGGGGGTCCCTCCCGAGGGTCCTCCGTTCGTGTGCGTTCCGCTGCCTTGAGCCTGAAGGCAGCGGAACGTGTCGGCTACTGTCGGCAGGTGGTTTCCGCCGGAGCGGCCATTCCGGTCAGCGGGTCATGTGAGCTAGCTAGCGGACATATCCCAAGGTTGCGAATTTTGGCGCCAATGCATGATCCTGCCTATAATAGTACTATTGCCATATTGGCAACATTTGGTGACCTTGAACGAGCTGAAGAGGACCCGCTGAAAAGTGGGAAGAGCAATGCCAATGGCGGACAAGAATAAGGAGGAGGCTTCTGAGTCCGAGGACGAGGCGGACTACGAGTGTGACTTTGATTACGGCTTCATCGTCCATGATTCTGAGGAGGACAAGGCGCCCTGGTGCCATAGCTGCTCAAAACGTCTGAGTCCCGAGGAGGACGCATGATACGTATATTGCTGGACATGTATCGATAAGGACGGCGGAATTTCGGTCTCCGAGTATTCAAGGCCCTGTCTCGCGGTTCGGATAGATGCAAACGGCACAGTTTGGGAAGGCATGCCGGATAATCCTGAGCCCTCGTTCTCTTGGCAGGAAGTCCCAGTTTACAAGGAGCATCCGGGGCGTGAGCACTACAAGAGAATGTCATGCACAGCCATGCTGGAGCAGATCAGGCTTTATGAGAAATTGAACAGGTTCTGGCATGAGGGCTCGCAGGTGCCACCCCCGCCTACGGAGATCAAGTACTCGTGCTTTGTGTGTGGTAAGGAGCATGTGGCCTACAGAGATAAGAAAGCGGCAGATCAATAGAAAGTTTCCAGAATTGGTAGCAAGATCAATAGGTGACACTTTTTGGGGATTTGCATTCGATTGCCCACTTGAAGAGAAAGTTGGATGGCCGTTCAAAGCGTTGGTTGGTTCTAGCTGATCTTCATGCCTTCGAAGAAATATACTAGCAGTGCCAGACTCTCAGCTCCACGGAGCATCCTTGGAGTGGTCCAATCAATACAAAAGTAGGAGTAAATAGCGAAGTATCGTATGCAAGTTAGTAGGGTGGCCCTACTACCACTTCTGTCTAAAGAGTTCGATGTGCAAGTATTTCTATATCTTATGTATGCGTCTTCCACGCATCTGCACTTGTAGTTTGCAGTAATTGATGTACATCATACCGTAGGTTTCAACAAGAACCTGAACTTAGTAGAGTAGGTTGACTTTGGCCAAACTTGTGTACAGTTTCCTGCAAACATTGTTGCGTGTCTGAGTTTATTCCACACCAACGTCTTACCTCTCTATGCATTGCCTTGTTTTAAGGTCCTGAGTAGAGGCACTTTGCTTATCAGGAACACCCTCAGTGAGGAAATCCTGTGCAACATGTGCGCGATTGTGCACGCCCAAAGGCCGGCACTGGCTAGGCACATGCACAGTTAACCTAGGGCAACCTTATTGCAATACATCGTTGTCATTGGCGGACGGTCACTCTATACCATATTGCATGTTTGGCTCATCGACCGCGGACTGACTGGCGCATGCGACTTATGATTCATCAGCAGTGCCCAAACGTATATGCACATGGCGCAATCATTCATGAGGCTCTGCAGCTGGCACGGAGGCTCACGAATCATTGGACTCGAAACTCTCTGGCAGACACTGCCATGGCCAAGGATCTCACGGCATGGCATTTAATTATTATTGCACAGGGAATGTAGTCCCGAATCTGCAAAGCCGCTGCGGCACGCTTCAAGCAAGATTTATAATGGCCGAAGGGCATTTCACGCGCACGTACAATCCATCAACGAATTGCCGTTTGAGCAAAGACTCAATTTGCACTGCATCTGAGTACTATCAGCTCAAATAAACGCGCGCATTGCGACCTCATCAATCTCGTCTCTCCTGGCATCCTTCTCCGCTTCAGCAGCTTCCATCAGATCTTTTTGTGTGACGACCCGTTCCTCCAACGGCCGGAGCGCCACCTTTGCCGCGGCCCGGACGGTCGCCCCGCTGATCGCCCCGCTGTTGAACTCGAAGCGCCGCCCGAGCTCGTCAAAGTCGATGCCGGGTGCGAGAGGGACCTGACAACAAGGAAAGTAAAGTTGTCTAAAAGTGGCCTACATGAGCTGGAAGCAAAGTCCCGACAGAACCTCTTGCTCATCACGACTCCTTGACCAATTTCGAGAACTTCGCAACGATCCATACGAATGTCCAAGACTGCTTCTTCGGTTCTGCGCCAGTCTCTGCTGAAGTGTGAGGCGCGCCGTGTCCAAATGACTACCAGAAACGCCCGAAACTTGCCGAAAGTAGCAAACTGTTCGAGATGAAGTCACCAGTCGGGCGGATTAGAAAAGCAGCCGATATACAATCGGGCGACAAATAACTGCAGGCCCAGGGCCAACGGTGCCTTATCGAACTGGTCAGCAATCTTAGTCTTCCTCTGTCCGACAGTTCAAATTGAAAGATGTCCTCTTTTAAAAACTCCCTAAATTTCGGATACTCGATGCGCCAGGTTGCGGTCATTTAACGAAGGGCAGAAAAACGAGGACAGCTCAGGAGTGTCCGCAGTTGCGGACGGCGGACGCACCTTGTCCGGCAGCAGCTTGCGCCACATGCGGCCACGTGTCTTAGCGTCCGGCATCTTGAACTCGACGATCACCCGCAGGCGGCGCATCAGCTCCGGGTCTAGACGCCGGATTGCGCTACTCTGAAAGCCAGGAACCAAAGTATCTTTTCAGAGTTCGATAAGATTCTTTGCTTTTCTTTCTCCAAGAAAACGTGGGTCTTTCGCCGTGTGCACGGTGTGCTAAGACAGCTCTTCAAACGCTCAATCAATCAACTTTCGAAGGGGGTGGATCCGTTCCACGTAGATCCGTGCGAAGCAGCAAAAGCAAGCGGCACTGCAATACGCTCCAAACCCTGAGTTCAACCTCGAAGAGATTTCTGCAGGAACATCGAAAGCCCAAGAACGACGTCCCCTGTTTCCCAAAGAAAGCATGCTTCACTGCTCCCCAAATTGGCATCGGCGACACACATGCGCAAACATGTTGCCAACAAGAGCCAGATGACGCGTCACTAGTTAGGAAAAGATGCCGCGAAGGACCTTCCGTGAACCCGAATCGAATAGCAGACCTGTAACGGCCGCTGCTTCTGAATATGCAAGACTTTATGATCTGATCGAGCGAGCTCGTCCCAACAACGAAGGAAACTTTGGGTCAACTCGGATAATGATAGGGGTCACGACAAAAAAGACAACCAGACTAGGACAGAACCAAGGTAATCTACTTGGATACTTACCTGCGATGAGGATACGAACCCGTGGAGACCAGTGTAAACAAGTAGACGGCTCTTGCGCTCCTTTTCGGGCTACGGAATCGACGAACAGAGAACTTGCAAAAAGCAATCACAGAACAAGGAACAAAAATGGACGCATAAAAGCACAAATATGACTAGAGTAAGATTCGAGGGGTGAAACACCGACGGAAGTATGAAACAGGAAAGATCGTACCTGGATGTTGTTCGCAATGAGTATGCACACCCCTGGGAATCGCTCCAGGTTGTACAGCAGCAGCCCGATGGCGGCTGACGACGACCGGGAGACCATCATGTCTTCGTCGTTCCCCCCCTCGATCACCTGCCGAGGTCGAAACTTTGAACAGTTGCCGCGATCGAATGGTGAACCAAATGATTCTCCTATCGAAGAGATGCCCCCCCGCCATGCTTGTGATTGAGTTCCGGTTCATGTGTTGTCAGGCGCTATTGTTGCGCTTGATGGACTTAGCCGCAGCGAACGCTTTCAGATCTGTACTCCGTCAGCAAACGCCGTTGATGACGTCAATTTCAACGAGCTGCACCGTCTGCGGAGGAAACATTATCTTCTTAAGGTATACCTCGTGTTCGTCAAAGGCTGACCTCAAAACATGCTAAATCCTCGGCATGGCCCTGAATGATTAGCCCCAGTTCTGAACGGAGTTCTTGGTTGTCATTGAGTTGGGTCAAAAAACGGGTTTGGGTTAACCCACCTGGAAGTCTTCGAGAACCAGCACTGCGTCCATGAGGCGCGCGTCCTTGAAGGTGGCGGTTATCGCGGAACCCGTCTTGGAGGAGCTCTCCTGCGACACTAGCTGCGCGCAGTTGATCACCTGCGCACGAAAAAATCATTTTGAGGTCGTGAAATATAGGGTGCTAAATGTTTGCTTAGGATTTTATCAAATCAGTAGTATAGCGTCATTCGGAAAAGGTGATCGCCTGCAAAACGAACCGCACACAAACCGTGCTGTAGGAAAATTTTGCTTCTTTGGCGATGCTAAGGGAGCCCACGAAGAATCTTCTGAGTCCCAAACGTAATATGTACAGCGTCGTTTCCTTTTCCAAGAATTGCGGTTGTGCTGATGTCTCACAAGAAAAAGCATGTACCACGGTCGAAGCAAGCTTGAATTGTGCCATATCCAAGAATCGCGATCAGCGCAGTGCGTAAGGTAATCTTCAACAGCAGCCAAAGAATCAACGGCACAGAAAGGTTCTTCGTTGACTGCGAAGCCCCAAAAAAATGAACCTGGTCCGCTTGCCAAGTCGCACTCCTGATTTCAACACTCAAAACTTCAATCGGAAGTTAGACCTCTACTTTGACTACGCAAGAGACCGGGCAGTATCAGACTTTAGTTTCTCAGAACTGTGGCTTACAATCGTCATTGAAGAGACCTTCAGAGCTCAAAAAATGGGTTTCATCAAACATTCAAATCGGCAAGGCTTTGTGGCTTGAGAAACCCGTCACCTTGAGAGGACGTCCCAGCTCAAAGCCAATCGCCTCGGCGGCCGCGGACTTTCCGGAGCCGTGGATTCCCCAGAACAGAGCCGCGGTGCCGACCCGCTCTTGGGCGAAGCCCCATGAGCCCACCATGACCGCGCGCGCCTTTTCGAAGTTGACGATGGACTCAAGCTGCGAAACGAACAGTACGGTTGAAGTGAGCGCTCTGCGCATCATTTCAATGAGCGCAACGAAAATGTGACGTTGAACTCGAGCTGCAAGAAGAGACAATGCGTAAGAAACAATGGATTCTGAGTTGCGAGCACTGAGTCTGCAGGATGTGGGGTAGTGCCGGTTGGACGCAATACCGCCCGTGGGTCGCGAGGGGTATGCAGAAGATGACTGGAAATCGTGCATTGAGTATCAACTTCTGCAACGACGACTTGCCTCACTGGAGTACTGCGTCCCAGGCCTACTGATGTGCAGTCCTATGATATGCTCTGCAAGCAAGCCTCTGCGGGCAACACGCATGCATTTGAACGGCAAGCGCAACAAGTTTGTTGCAGGGGTTGCCCAGCCACTGTCCGCTCCCCTGGCAAAGCCCCATTTTAGCCAGCCGCAGAGCCCAAAGCCGGGGTCAATCGCAAGCTATGCGCGCATCTACGGCTGAAGCAAAGCAATGCCCTTGATCGTCCAATGCCTTTGGGAACACAAAAACACTTTCCTCTCTTCCGTCACCGTCGCCCAGACCCTTCGAAAACGACCCCGTTGAAAGCGTTAGACGTGAGAGTATTCCCACCTGCTTGCGCATCTGTGACGAGAGCACTAGGTCGTCCAGTCCGGTCTTGGGCACGACCCGGTGTAGAAAGGCCTTCATTTGGAGGCTGCCCCGCATCTGCATCTGGCAGCCCTCCACGATGTCGTCCTCCGTCACTTTGGGGTCGTCTGCGCTACGGCTGATCGCGAGGAGAAGCGCGCTCACAAGCGCGTTCTTGATGTAGCCTCCCGTCAGCTCATATCTGCAACATACAGGAGTTGAACCAGGTATTTGAACAATGAATTTGATATATTTTAGATCCGTTATTTGCCCGTCGTCCGTCACTTTGTGGTCATCTGCGCTGCGGCTGATCGCGAGAAGAAGCGAGCTCACGAGGGCGTTCTTGATGTAGCCTCCCGTCAGCTCGTACCTGCAAAGGGAAAAGGTTCGGATGAAGATCATTCGAGTCAACAGGAAAGCTGTAAAAGTAGGAGTTCTGGTAAAGTGGGTTCGTCTGCACCGCGGCTGATCGCAAGGAGAAGCGCGCTTACGAGCGCGTTCTTGATGTAGCCTCCCGTCAGCTCGTACCTAAAAACGATAAGAGCCGGATCAGAGAATTGGAGACACAGTGGAGTTGAGAAATGTCTGATTTTCGAAAAAGAGACTGGGTTCGTCAGTGATGCGGCTGATCGCGAGGAGAAGCGCGCTCACAAGCGCGGTCTTGATGGAGCTTCCTGTCAGCTCGTACCTAAAAAAGAAAAAGAGCCGGATCAAGAGACTTCGGAACAAAGTAAAGTTGTGAAGAGTAAAATCTCCTGGGGAAGTGGGTTCGTTAGTGACGCGGCTATTGGCAAGAAGAAGCGCGCTCACGAGCGCGCTCTTGATGTAGCCTGTTGTTAGCTCGTACTGACGACGCAAATGACTCGGAACCTTCGTTTCTCACCTGACGCAACTCTCTTCCGATCGAGCGCCTCTGCAAGCCGCAGCTTGCACGACGGAGAGCTCCCAGAAAAGTATCCTCTGCGTGTGGTCCGGAACGAGCAACTGACTCTCAAAGGGCGAGAAACTTACAACGTTGAACCTTCTAAAGTAGACAGCTCACCTCGGCGCATTCTTCTCCAAGTTGAGCGCCTCCGCAAGTGATTGTTTCCAAAAGGGTAGCTCTCATGTCAAACTTCTCTGCACGTGTGGTCTCATGCCGAGAGACGCAATCGCAGATTTTAAAGCGCAGAATCCCACAACCTAACGTTTCATGACTCTGCCATCTCCCCCGAGCGCAATCTTCTCCCAGTCGAGGGCCTCTCCAAGTGGTCTTCTCCGTGAGGAGAGCTTCCAGATCAACCTTCTCTGCAGTACTCCTGGTGAGGGAACTCGCTGGGTCTTGAAAGCTTGAGGAGCTTGAAAACGTGACATTGCAAACTCTTTGGAGCCCTCACCTGAGCGCAATCTTCTCCCAGTCGAGCGCCTCGGCGAGCGGCAGCTTCCGCGACGAGAGCTCTCAGATGAGTCTCCGTAGCGTGTGGTCTGAGTTCTGAGACTCGCCAGCTAGCTCTTAGACCCTAGCAAAAAAAATCCCGCAGGAAGCAAACAGTTGAAGTCCTCACCTCAGCGCAATCTTCTCCCAGTCGAGCGCTTCAGCGAGCGGCAGCTTCCGCGACGAGAGCTCCCAGATGAGTCTCCGTTGCGTATGGTCCGGGTGGCGGAACTCGCTGACGCACGTGATACGCCGGTGCATGGCTTCGTCGAGGTCCAGCGGCCGGTTGGTCGCGAGCATGATGATCCCCTCGTGGCGCTCCATCTCGGTCAGCAGGGCGTTTAGCAAGCGGTCCCCGCCCCTCTCACGCTGCAAAGGGGAAAACGAAACAAGCAGCTTAGAAAGATACTCATCGGTTGGAATGACTCTTATGAAGGTTGAAAGAAGATCCTTTCATAACGCTCCATCTCCGTGAGAAGCGTTCGAAAGGTAATCTCCGCCCTTCTCACGTTGCACACAAAGGGAAAGAAAAAAGGCCAGAGAGTGAAGCGACGGGGAACAGTGACACAAGAGCTTACAGATGCAGATTGTACCGAGAATGATGATGCCTCTGTGGGCGATACAAAACGCAAATTTAATCACGTTGCGTAAAAGTGGATACTTACAATGAGGGCTTCGAAGGGTTACATCAGGCTGTTATAATGGGTTGGTGAAGGTTCTGCGCTTCAACGTTCCAATATCGCCTTGCTTTAAGCGGCCAGATTTTGGCCATGAGTAAGTCTGGCGCCGAATCCAGAAGAGGGAACGCAACTGCAGAGTCTTACTTGTGCAAAGATGGCCTTGCACTTGTCAAACGATATTGACAGCATCATTCATCTTCGCGTTCTAAAGAGACTTTCAACGTTTGCCAGCGCTTCTTTTACCATCATCTCGATTTATATCGGCGACAAGACGCACGCATCCAGCGGTGAAAGCGAGCAAGTGACCATGCGCTTTGACTGACCTGTGCAAAAATGGCCTCGCACTCGTCGAAGAAGATGACGGCGTCGTTCATCTCCGCATCCCGGAACAGCCCCCGCAGGTCCGCGCCCTGGTCCTCCCCCCGGTTGCCCGAGCTGACCGCCGTGCTCAGGCTCTGGAAGTCCACGAGCAGCACACGCTTGCCTGACGTCAGCAGAACACGATGACGTCAGCAACGATTTATATCAGCAATAACAATGACGTCAGCAGCGATACTTCCCCCCGATTGCCAGGGTAACCGCCGTACTAGGCTCTGGGAATCCACCAGCAGCACGCGCCTGCCTGACGTCAGCAAGAAGAGGGTTACGTCAATGGAGGATGATGACAGCAGCGGCGGACATTGCGACGAAGACAGGGAAGCAGACGGGAGGACGCTTTGCTAATCGGAAAAACAACATGCGAAAGATGAATAAAGTCAGAGAAAAAAGCACCATCGCTGACAAAAAGTTCGACGGACGGGTCGCTCAAAGGGTCCATCCGAACGACTGGGGTCCGAGGCAGCGAGGGAATCATGTCGCTCTCCGTAAAGGAAAAGAAGATCCAACAGAGGAGGGCCACAAACAGCACAATATTGAATCGACAGACAACCAAAGAGGCAAGCGTCTTCAAACTCCGGGTTCCCTGGATTAATGGTGAAGCATTCGCTTTTGAAAGTCGAGGGAGTGTCATCCAGGTCATCCAAATGGCGCGAGGGCAACGCCCACATAGGCCCATTCACAAAACAACGAGATCTCGATATTCGAAGATTTCGGATAAGTCCATACCTAGATGGTGCGCCACAGCGTTGACGGTCATGGTCTTCCCGGTCCCCGACGCCCCGCAGAGCAGGATCACCAGCCCCGCGCCGTAGTTGATGACGTCCTCCAGGCCGGCCGTGTGGCGGTACTGCTTGAACTTGGCGTAGTTGTCCACCGTGCGCAGCAGCACCGCTTTCTGCTCTTCTGGTAGCACCACTTGATCCATCGAGATCTGCATGTCAAGGTGTTTCAGGTATCAGGTTGTTGATGTTCGGAGTTGCAATTCTAAGACTTTCGAATCGAAGTGAAGGTACTTTCCCAGTACTAATTTAACTTGGCGTACCTGTCCACGCAACAACGCTTTCTGCTCCTCGGGTACACCAAAGATCCGATGAATAGTTCATTGACACCAATTCATCCACCAAGATCCACAATTCATGTCTGGTCACAGCTGGCCTTCTTGAGCGGTTGTTGCAGAATCCGATTGTTTCTAAGCTCGACGCTACTATATTTCGAATAAACTTAGCGAAATATAAAAACCCACCACATCCGATCGGATGAGACATAGTCTGACCATACGAAGCAAAATTTTAGACACAGACCGAAATTTACTCCCGAACACTTTTCTAGATTCCCGCACCTTGGGATGGTACAAATGGCTCCCCTCCACTAGTTCGTTCATCTCGGTGTCCAGCCCCACAATCCAGTCGAGCATCCGCCGATCTAGTTCCACCTGTTGGTCCATCAGATCGCCGCCGTTCCGTGTGTACGGCGGCGGCCGGATCTTGATCAGGGCCTTTGACACCAGGCGGCTGGACTTATAGAAGTACGGGCGTGCAGAGACTTGGTCTTTGAACGTGTCGAGGAAGACCGTCAGAATGTCCTTGACCTGAAGACGGTAGGAAGGGTGGACAATGAGTGAATATCTGAGAGTCTGGAACTCTATCAGCGCCTTTGACACTAAGCAGCTGGACTTTTGACAGTAATGGCGTGCAGAAACTTGGTGCTTGGAAGAGTCGAGAAAGACCGTTGGACTGCCCTTCAGAGAACGGAGCGAGTCAAGTTGGTCAGAAAAGCGGTGGGATAAAGCGTCTGAGCGGTCCAATATTTCAGTAGATGGGAGGGGCCTGCTCAATCCTCCCAAATTGACAGGATCAGACCCTCAGCCCATCCTCCTCAATGAAAGAAGAAAGCGCAAAAAAGGGCAATAGACGAAAAGGACGCCCGACAGATAAAGGATAAGCAGACCCGAACACAGCAAACCTTGCAGAATCCCTCACCTGCACCGTATCTGCTGTCCTCCGGTAGCTGCTTCCCCCGTCGTCCGCCTCGTAGATGCTCTTCACGACCGGCGAGATCGCAACACCTGTCAGCATCGTGACCACCCCTTTTTCAAACTCGTCCAACCCCAGCTTCCGGGCTAGCGCCTCCAGCCGCGGGAGCTCCACCGGGCCGTCCTTAACCTCCCCCTTAACCTCGCCCTTAACCTCGTCCTTAACCTCGTCCTTAACCTCCCCGTCCTTCACTGCGTCAGACACTGCCCCAATTTTGTCAGAAGAGGCACCGGCCGCAACCGTTGATGTATCCTGCTCCATCGGAACCGCCGTTTCCGTTCCTTCCACAGGTGTCTTCGCCTTCGCGTCCCCGCTTTTGTCTTTCTTATCCGCTTTCTTCCCCTTCGCTTCGACTTTCGCACTCGCATCTCCGTTCCCCACCGGAATCTCCGCATTCGCCTCTGCCTTTCCAGCGTCCCCATCGGCCCCCTTCTCAGTCACCGCGGCCCTGACGTCAGCAGACTCCCCGCCCACGGGCAGGATGACGTCAGCGGGCGGCTCGCCGCTCTTCTTGAGGGCTTCCTCCGTGACCGCCAAACGCTCGCGCAGCTTGGTCTGCGCAAACTTGAGCTTGGCCTTGAGCTCGCGCGTGCTGGGCGCCTTGCTGTTCTTGTAGTTGTACCCATCGTACCACCCGCCTGTGAAAGGCAAAAGCATGACGTCAGCGGGGAAGATCATTGGTCTAACAAATTAGGCACATTCGAAAACGGACGATCGAGTTTTTGTGTGCCTGTGGCTTGCTTGAAAGTTGGGTCTGTACGAACCGATCGATTTTGGGCGTTTCTGCAGTCAACCAGCCGCCTGAAAGCTGACGGATCACCCCACCAGTGAGCCTCTCGCGTTTGCAGTTGCAAGTCGGATCTGATACGAAGACATTCGAAAAGAAACGATTGCAACAGTATCCAGAATCGCCGTACATGGCAAACATCCCAAGAGCCGACTTTCAACGAAAAGTCAATTTTCAAGTTGGCGAAATCAAACGAGTTAGTCATCTCTGCGGTGGGTCAAGCTGCCACCAGGCCCGTTCAAATCCTCTCAACCCACTTTTGGCTTCTACTAATCCACGATTTCAACCCCTAAGGTGATTTCAACGCTTTAACCCACCTGGCGCGTTCCCCGCCTCCTTCAGATCCTCCTGGTGCCGCGCCTTTGACACCCTCATCTGCAGCGCTAGCACCTGAAAACTGTCGTCCAAATACTCCAGACTATCCTGATACGGCTGCAAATCCGACTTCTCCCCCTTCTCTAACCCGGCCCCTGACCCCTCCTCCCTAACCATCCCGTTCGTTTCCGGGGGGGTCCGCTTCCCCTCGGCCGCAACCCCCTGCTCCAACGCCCGGAACTCCGCTGCCAGGTCGTCTTCCAAACCCGAGTCCTTCCGCGAGCGTTTCGTGCCCTTCTTCCTGCCATCGGAAACTCCCACGTTCTCGACTTCGCTTCCGCCGCCCGAGGTTCCGTTCCGTTCCGCTTCGGCCGTTCCGTTCTGGACGTCCGGCGCCGCGCTTCGAGCGCCGTTCTCGGGCGGAGCAGCCGAATCCATAATGTTTAGCAGTTCCGTCCGGCTGAGCTTCAGGCGCTGCTCCGTCCGGATCGGGTTGCCGAGGAGAACGGAGACGGCGTCGTTCACCATTTTCAGGTTCTTTCCGTCGTAGTCCTCCTGACAAACAGAGAGCAACAGAGTTGGTTAAGCACTCGGTATCATTGGTCAGTTGCACCCATATGTAGTTCAGAGAACGAAAAGCGGATTGTGCCTTAAGAAGAGATTCAGGGATACGAGACAGGCGAACACTGGGCGGGTCAAGGAATCTGACTATATAGCACGCAGGTGGCTACCGAAAGGGCATGACAAGTCCACTGGTGCAAGGAGAGGCAGACAAGGATCTCTGGCGTTAGCCTACTTGGGTCTGAGAGTTTTGCATACTAACAGGTACCGTCCTGCAAAATGCACGCAGCCGCTTCCTACCCAAAAAAGCGAAACAAAACGATCCGTTCGACTCCGTACAGCCACTCGACGTTTACTCAAGCCTTGGAAATATTTCAAAATTCAATCACCCGCCTCCGCAGTTTCACGGAATAACGTCTTACAGCCGTTCGACTGTCGAACTACCCGTCTCGCTTTCCCATTGCGTATCCAAGCACTGCTGAATATGTACCAAAGACGTAGCTGACGCAGGGGAAGCAGACTCCGGACCATTTCCACGTAAAGCACTCCTTCATCATCTATCGTTCCTGCAAAGAAACTTCCATCGCAAAAGCTTCCTTCATCCGCCAGTGGAGGTGGCAAAGACCCCCTCACCAATTCCATTTGGCATATGCACCCTCTTGTCGTCCATGAAACGAACCTCCATCTTCAAACAACTTCCTCCAGCCGTTTGAACGTAAGTAAGACTGGGCTCACCACTTCCTGACGATCCCTTTCACCATATGCATCCTCTTGTCGTCCTTGAAACGATTTCCCTTTCTCGAAACAACTTTCTCCAGCCGTTGTTGAACATAAATAAGACTAAACAAGACTTGGCTCGCCACTTCCATGACGGATCCCTCCAGCATTGCACCCTCTTGTCGTCCGTCAAACGAAACGCTTTCTTAGAAACACTTTCTTCAGCCGCTATGAGTCGTAAATGAGCCCTGCTCACCACTTCCATGACGATCCCCTCCAACATATGCACCCTCTTGTCGTCCAAGAACTCGTCCATCTCAATCGCCGACAGCCCGCAGAGCAGCATCTCCCAGTCGCGATCCTCCGGCCTCGGCGTGCCCAAACCTAGGCCTAGGATGTTGTTGAAAGCCAGACTGGAACTCCCTCCCTTGACAAATAAGAGCTGCAAGGCAGGGAACCAAAGTTTTCAGGAGATGAGTTGGAGTTCCATATATGTCTGTGTCATTGTGAGGGGTTGAGAGGGCTAACGGAAGAAGAATTGGATGACTTTCTGAAATAGATCGGAGCTTCGTCCGTCATGACGAAAGAAGTGGAACTGCTGGTGAGGAGGCTGCCACTTAGGCGGACAAATGTGGTGCGTAAACCTCTGCTGCTGGCCAAGAGCCACTTGTGATAGCACCTTCAACTGACAAATGAGCCATCCACTCAACCTGTTTGCCACACCAGGGAATGCCCGTTGTTGGATGCCATGTCATAAACTTTCTAAGAGATTTAAACCCAGCGATTGTCCGAAATATAAAGGGAACGTTAAGGTGGCCCGCAGAGCAGGTAGTCAAAAACGTTTCAGCGATGCGGTCTCTGCAGAGTGCACTTATGCCCCTTGTTCGAACATATGCCAGTCATCCCCCACATCATAGTAGCAGTCTGGACCACAAATGTTTGACAGGCTTTTCTTGGGTGCCAAATGAAGCAGTGTGGAACCACCAACCTTCAGCAGATCCTTCTCCTTTCCACTCAACGGGTATCGCTCCGAAAGCCGGTACACTAGTGGTTGTTCCGCCTCTGGGGCGTTTTGGAGACGCGCGCAGCCCACCATTTCAACTGCTTTCAAGAGACGTTCCACAACCTCCAGGTCGTGCTGCCTGCATAGAACCATGAAAGGTGAACCAATCATCTCGACTTGAAACCCACAGCTCTTGTGGCGAGTTTGCGCTGGCTGCTTATTGCTGCGATATGCCCTGGAATATGAACTTACCGTCCAGGTTGAAGTCTTACAAAAAGGCTTTGGATACTTCAGTCACAACAGGAGCAGGTTGAGAAGGACACTAACATGCTCACAGTGAGCAGGCGCTTTCGACCATGAACGGCTGTGAGTGACTTTAATAACAGAGATGGCTAGGATACTCATCTGTTTGTTCCTTCTAAGAGTGTTTGATTTGAAAGGAGAGTCCTCCAGCGATGACGAACCGCATGGCAAGTCCGCCATTCGCACCATCTCAGCGAGAACTCAAGAGTGGTTTTTGGAGATTTCTAGGAACCTTGGCAGATGTGAACATGTAAACCCTTGCAGACCACCAGGAAAACCCTTTGCAGAAACATACCTGGCTTCCGGCAGTGCGCCTGGGTCTTCTGTTGGGGCGCCTCTCGCCACCGCCATCTTCAGCGCCCGGTAGATCTCCGTTTTCTGTGCCCTTAACACAAAAGCGAGCTCCAGGTGCTTCAGGTAGCTTGCGTTGGTGAACGGTGTCGATGGCAACTTCATTTCTCCCTTGTTAGCCTTAGCCAATTCCTCCAGCTCTAACCGGAACTCCGAAAGCAGTGCCAAAAGCCCCGGACGTTGGCTCTCGATTTGGGGCAATACCGGCACCCACTCAGAACCCGCAACCGGTCCAAGCGCTCTGCTCGCAAGGAGCTGAGCGTACTCCCCATCCCCCACATCTGATTCCTTCTCTGACTTAGCACTGGGAGTCTTGCCCAAAGATGCTGCTTCTCCGTTTGCTGCGGGTGGGGTTTCTCCATTGACCAAGCCCGTTCCGTGCAACCCCGTTGATGTAGCTGGCGCGCCATTCTCGTGCAAATCCTCTTGCTGTAATGGTGCATCGGTTGCGCCATCTAGGACAATCTCGAGCTGAGATTCTAGTTTCGCCCGCTTCCTTCCTGATCGTCTCTCAGGAGTCAGCTTGGGGGGGGCCAACGGCGGCTTGGCGCCAGAGGTAGCAGCATTTGCCAGAGTGCTTCGCTGCACACGTCCGCCACGCCGGTCCGCAACCATTTTGCCACCCTTATCGTGTACAAGGTCGTCTTTAATAGGTACGGTAGATGTCTTGAGCTAGCAGTTCTGAATCTCAGCGCTGGTCGACAGCACGCAAGCCCTCCGTGCTTCGGGTTGGCCCCTGACGTTTGAACAGGATTCAGGGCGGCGGCAGCGGAACTCCGGAACCGGAAAGGCTCGATGGCAAACTCGTATCGCAGACTTCGAACATTTTGAAATTCGGGCAAGAAATGACGATGTAAGAGTGGGCAATCCCTTTCGACATGTGGTTCGGAATCGTCGAAAGCATATCACATTGGCTTTTCACATCGAACTCGCTGCTCATATAGCTGGATAGAGGACAAAGAACCGGTTTATGCCGCGCCATGCCGTCAGCTTCTATTATGCAAGGCCAAATGCAGTCAACGTCAAGGTCCACGACATTCAATTTCATTGCGAATATGGTGTCTTGTAAGGATTTTCCGAGGGAATCAAATTTTAGGGGAATGGCCATTCTCCCATTCTGCCAGGCTGGTTGCCAGGAAAGTGCGCTAGGAGAGGCGGGGACTAGGAGCCGCTCAGCGGCTCAGGCATATGGTGGCGATGGCCTGGCCACTGCCGGCTTGAGCTTTATGAGTTTGCATACAAGGCAATATCCTACTTTGCTTGGAGTCTGGTGAGGAGCCTAGGCGAGGAGCTCACGCTGCACGCGAATGAATCTGCGAGGACGGTGCGCAATCAGGTAAAGAAGCAGGGTTCGAGGCAAGGATGACAGGCCCCACTGGAGAGGGGCTTCGCTGACACTGATGTGAAGATGGACGCTGCGCAAGCCAGGTGACCGTCTTTGCTATACCATGTTTCTTAAGATGAGCATTGCTCTATGCACCCACAAAATCAGCACAATGAGCGCCATAGTATAGGCAAATCGGCAAAGTTGTAGCTTGCTCAAGCATAAACTCAGGTTATCTATTCTTATTGCATGTGATACTGGTCAAGTCAGGCCACTTTGTGCACAAATTATGTTGGAATGCGGACGAGAGAGATCACACAGAAACAGATTCATTCCTGAGCTGGTCAAACTCCAATTCGCAGGTGTGACCTGCAATCCTCCACTCACTTCTTGCCTGGGGTTCAAATTCTGGAAAGAGGAGCGGAATGACCCAGGAGGGGAGCCCTCAGCACGGGATCCCCCTCGCAGTACCAGAAAGGTTTGAATCTCCTTTCCCTTTGTTTGTTTCCCAAACTAGCGGGTTATTCTTTGGTACTAGACATTTCCAGTTCCCTGCAATGAAGTATCAGGGTGATGGGGCAGGTTATGGCCCCATGCCATATCCCCCATACGCCCCTGGCCCCATTTGGAGCAGGCTCTAAGCAACTTCTGCACGGAGCCAAGGTGAAGCGGCCGCAAGCTTATATACTCGCTGATTCTTGCAGAATACAAGGAGATTGACTTCATTCTCTGCGATTTCATCTTGTTAGATGCACACTGTAGAGTATCTTCAGTTGGAAAGAGTCACCAAATCTGGACGAACACAAGCAATACTCTGAAGGCCCAAACTTGATGTCAAAACTCACCTGATGCTCTGACCCCTTTGAATGACCAACCCATAGCACCAGAGCAACGAGGCTGACTAGGATATCTTTCTACAGCATGCTCCCAACTGCCCTTGCTGCAAACCATGAGTTGACGCTTGAGACACTGTGGAACATATGGTGCGTCAAGCGTTTGGCTGCGTTTCTACCTCCCGTTTTCAAGGCGTTGCAACTAGGTGTGAGGACCAGAGGACAAGTGAGTTTATCTGACTGTCGTCCTCTAGCATCTGCAGCCTGCATCACATACACCTAAGCTCAAAGATGAGCTACGCGTCAGAAGTCTGCAAAGAAGCCTATCACAATGTTGTACAGTGATGGCCGTTGCTGCATGCACAATCCTTATGCTGAACCTGCCCAAGTCTACTGTCCTAACCAACGCACACACCGGCTGGCGTAGGTGCCGGATTGGTGGCCTCACCAACTCTCAGACGAGGTGTACCGTCAAAGAACCCATGGATGGGCAAAAGAGGACGTGATTAAGGTTTTGAAGGCATTGTGGGCAGCAACAGAGTCGGACCCCGGTCTAGCTGAGCAGATAGTCAGATGCTGGGCTCGATACAGATGCCAGGTCATCTCAAAGGAGCAGAATGCGATGGATGCTGCGATTGGCTTCCTAAACCAGCAGCCGCCGACCCTGGCTCAAGAGAGCCCCAACACTGTGGCAGCTCCCAAGGGTACAACTTTGCAGGTGAGTTCATGTAACTTGCACTCCAGGCTTTCCCATTGGACATGTGTCTGTATCTGGCAATGGTTTCTTTGCCTTGTCTTCCAGGATTCTCAAGGACGGTTGAAGGGTTTCCTGGGTCTCCCAATCTTTGACAGCATAACCCTCGCTCATAGAACCTGGCTTACTCGGTCTGAAGACTTGCGGCATACTGTGAGAGAAGGATCTCAACCGAGGGCTGTTCGTGCTATGCTTCCTTAGCGTGCAATCTGGGTCAGCCTACCTCAATATTTCACAGTATCAGGTGATGGCACCGTCTGCCATCAAGCTCACCCTACCATTTCCATCCACCTGCAGCACGCTCACAGACTCTTAGACTGCTGGTCAAGATCTCCACACGTCTCCACCCCGCCAGTCATATGTTGCCGCATGTCTGAGTCTTAGCACCTTTTCCAAACAAGGCGGAATTGGAGTTGGCCTTGCAAATGTGCTGTTGTCATCTTTCCTGCACAATTGCGCAAGTCATCAAGGTACAGTCTTTGCAGTAGCCGCTGTTCAGCCCCTTGTATCCTCCAATCACAAACGCGCACTCATTCCCAGTGCAAAATAGCTGTCTGTTAAAACCGAGCTCTCTAAACAGGTGACTTTCAGGCTGACAGCACTCAGGAGTGTACTAAATCTATCAGTTCTCTCGTAGAAGCTGGTCCCAATCTCTTGTGCAGCGACATGGACGAGATGATCTGAAGCGGAAAGAACAGGACCGCTCCGCCTCACCCGTCAGGGACAAGAGGAGCAGGGCAGAGAGCAGTGAGCCGGAGCAAGTGCGTGCAAGGCACAAACCTGCGCAGATCGATTTGGTAAGTGCCGGGCGCCTTCTTCATGGCAGGCCTTTGCTAAGCGGTTGAGCCAATGCCCTCTCTTAAGTGGCTCTATTAGGTAGGTCTTGGACAAGTCAGCTGGCCGACTGTTATCAGGTTCTCATTCTTACTTCTGTCGTGTCCAGCCGCGTGTTTGCAAACAGGGACTGTGTGCCCTGCTGGGCCGTGAAGGGTCCACAGCAAGCTGGTCATTTGAGCTGGTTGCTTCTGAACATGTGACCTGAATAGGAATGTACACATTGCCATGACAGTTCGACACCAGCCCAGTGGCGGGCTTACCCCCTCGGCGCCAGCTGTGGGGCGGGAACCAAGTGTCAGGCTCGGGCAGCGCCGACCTTCCGGAACAAGATGGCACGCTGCTTTCACGCCTTCAGGACCTGTGTGCCAAGACAAAGACACCCGTAGCCAAGGTGAGAGCACAAAGCCTTATTCGCGTATAACGCTTGTTGGGAGACGGTCTGGCTTTGAAATGCTTTATGTCGAGTATCTCCAGTTATGAGGAGGCATGTGGATTTGGTCGAAAGGCCCTACTGGGTTGCAGCCTTTCATTCCTATGCCGCTGCTGTGGCGGGGTTTATGTCATGGTCATCGTCAGTGCTATGGCCTGCTCTGAAGGAACTTTGTCAGTCTTCATCTCGAAACGAGGGCGGCACTTGGCGCCGCAGTTCGGCAGATGCTTACTCTGCCCTGGCTCAGTCCACAACTTTACATGGGGAAAGGAAAACTTAGGGAATAATCTAATCATATAATGTCGGCCTCGATCAAGGAACTTTTTTATTGTAGAGCGGGCTAGCGAGCCCCATGAACAGTCTTTTCCTAACTTTCCCTTCTCGCTGTACCGCAGGCGCAGACCAGCAACAAGGCAATGGACAGCCTCGACGGTCTGTTCACGCCGGCAGCAGCGGCTGACGTCACCGCAGGGCTTCCCGGCTACACCTCAGAGCCACCCAGGGCTCGCGCAAGGCTGACGTCATCCGCTGCTGAGCGAGAGGAAGCCGTTCTCTGCTTGCTGCGCACTCTGGACGACGTGGCCAATCTGGAGGCGGAAGCAGCTCGGCACCAGATACTGGGCGTCATCGAGGACCTCCACCGGCTCCTGGCGAAGGCTGTGTTGTACAGAGACCTGCGCTACCCCTGCGCCATCCTTCTGGCCCGCTTTGCCCACCGAGAGGATTGGCTCGACCTGCTGGTGGATCGCATCCCCGGTGATAAACTTCGTGGTCTCGTGAAGGATCTCCTGACGGCGGCGGTTGTGCAACTGGGGGAGACGGACATGAACCCGGTAGAGATTCAGAAACCTCAGGAGGGGTCGAGCCTCGCCCCGTTGATCCGCGTGCTCGGGGCCTTGCGGAAGAGAGCAGCCCCGTTCGACGGCGCATGGCCGAAGTGCTCCGAAGTTCTGAAGAAAGTGCAGAAGCTGGTCGGAAAGGAAGGAGATAAGTTGCTCGTGAAGCAAGACTGGGCGATAGCGGCGCGAGAGGCTCTGGTGGAAGAGTTTCCCTGGAACTTTGCCACTGAGGGCCAGCTGGGGAAGACGTCAACCCTTAGCGGTGAGGATGGGGGTCTGATCAGCGCAGTCGAGCTCGCCTTGCAAGGAGGCGGAGGGCAGTCGATGGAAGTGGATCTCCAGAAGCAATCGGAGGACGCCGAGGTGTTTGCTGCCGACGCCTTCAATTGGGAGGCCGAGGATAGTTCGTTTGGTGAGCCAATGGGACCGGGGCTGATGATGCTGCCGCTCTCTTTGTTTATTCGGAGGCGCGTCTTAGGCAGACTCACAATCATAGGCACTAGTATTCTTTCCAGTGAAAGATGGCAAAGAACCTCGATGCGGAAGTCGCGTGCTTCCTGCGGGTGTTTCATGGGAGGAAAAGGTTGAAATCACTCATTCGAAGCCGATGCGATGCGCCAAGAGGACCCTTGCGCATTGACGGGCGCTTGCATGCTGTCAAGAAAGATTTGATGGGCTGATCAATCGGCGAGAACCAATATGGACTTGGACTGTAGCGCCAATAGAAGCTCGATGTGCAGAAAGGAGCGCTCATCGTGGCGAAGATTCCTCTTGTTTGCCTTATTCCCTTTCCTTTCGTTGGCGCACTGCGTAGCCCAATTGCCTCGTGTAACCCGTCCTCGTGTTCTGAAAAAATTTGCAGCCCCCGAGGAAGTCGAAGCTGATTGGCAGCTCGCCCATAAGCGTGCAGAAAGCGACGCCTCATTGAAGGAGAACGAGTAAGTTCGCTGTAGATCGTGCCAAGCTCTGCTTCGACTAGCTCAGGCCGTTCAAACTCTTTGCAAGGCAGGGTGCCGAGGCTGCATGCGTCATCGCCGGTTAGATTCTAAAACTGCACAGCCCAATCCGGTTGGGGCGCTCGACTCGATAGACTAGTTACTCCAGGTAGCGTAGTTTGGTCCACAGTACAGTACATGCCTTCATATGGCAATTGGTTTCAGATTGAATTCATTGTACCAAAAGTTGCTTCGTTCGGGGTCCGCATGTGGCAGTGCCCCGTACAATATTTCTGTAAGATTGAGGATAGGACGCAGCAGAGATCTTGAGGTTGCTTTCAACCTTTAAGCGAAATTTGTTTACATAGCCAGTGGATGGAGTTGTTAAAGTGTTGAACCAGGCAGCTTTACAAACGCCCATACAGACGGAGTCAGATGTCGAAAATCTGGTCCGATAGGCGTCGGTACTGAACGTACACGTCACGCCTGTGGTCCCGCTGCAGGCTGTTGAGCGCCAAAAGGCGCCTGTCGTTCGCCCTGGCGGATTACCACCAGCGATATACGGAATACGTCACCGCAGTCAACTGGGTCAAGAAGAAAAATGGACAAGTAGGTGACATCTTAGCAATGCTTTACATTCTTTTTGGAGAAAGCAACACTTGCACCCAAAGCTGGAAGCGAGTTTCGTCTCAAACGTCAGTGTGTCCCCATTGTCAAGTGCTCTAAGCACACGCCCGACGTGCGAAAACAATCAGTCCTTCAGATGTACTTATTGTCGATTTGATACGAGTGCAGACCTGTCTTTGTCCACCTCATCTACGTCTTCGGTGCAGATTCCTTCGCACCGTCTTGTTCGATTTGGGTCGGGCTCTGAGTTTGACAAAGGCAAACCTGTATGCTAAGCACCTCCAACAGTCCAGTCTAGCTTGCTGGCCCTGAATGTGTGAGGAGTTACCAGTGCCGTCATTGGTTAGGTCACAGACAATCTTACTCTTCCGTGACCGACTGATTGCAGTTGTTGGAACAAAGGCCCGATGGCGAGGAGCGTGTTTGACGTCCCAGACGTCATTGGCCATGTGGAGGGTATACCAGATCTGCACCGCATATTGCACGTTCGGTCAAACCTGGCCGCCTGACCTGAGTCCGAATTGAGCCAGTCGCATAACTTTTCTCGAGCCGCAGAACCTGAGCCGTTCGATGAGAGGCATGTGGGTCATCGCAAGGTCGAAGTTCTGCGGCTCGGGCGCAGTTCTGCTTTCGGATCAAACAGTGGTCTGGACAGGCGGCCAGGTTTAACCGGATGTGCAGTATTAGGAATGAAGCTGGCGATGCTAAGCGCAGCACCAGGTCAAGCCGATCTCAAATGTCTTTGGAAGCCCTCATAAGGTATAGTGTATAGTACTACAGATTGGCGGGGTGAATTGGAGGTCAGCTTGCGTGTAGATTGAAATCCTCCTGTTGGGTCTTGAGGGTCGCTCGGCTGGGAGATTCATGTAGTGTCCCGAAACATATTTATTAATAGTTGGTACATGTACGAAAGCGTCGTAATACCATTCGAATCTAGTCCGCATAAAACATTACCAGCCAAGTCGGACCGCCAAAGGCTCCATTGAACTGGGATATTGGAAAGTCGATGTTGGACAATGGAGTTACTTTTATCATCCTAGGCGGCTGGCAAAGTTGCATGCCAATGTCCATCTTTGACAATGGATCGACACGGTTGGTAGCTGGTAGTGCTTCATCATGATCAAGTCTGCCGTCGCCTTGTAGATCTAGCATAAATAAATTGAGCAGTTGCCAGCTCGTTACTTGGGCCAAACCGTATATACTTGCCTATCAAGAGTAACTTGGGCGGGCGGCCGGCCCGGGCCGACTCCGTCGAACTCATTTTGAATGATTGGCACTCGCCTAGAAGACAGAATACTCGATTCGATTCGCTCGTATACAAACTTTGAAACTTTGAAAGATGGACATTTCTCTTAAAGCCCGTGCGTATCAAAGGCATGGGGCGGAGTGCGGGTACAGGGCAGTGTTAGTGCTGTTCGCAAGGACATATTCCTGCAACAACTCCTCAACATTTGCGGACCAGATTTAGCAACCAGAAATCGATACTGCAGTTGCACTAGCATTTGCCGTCGACGATCGACAATCGTTTTTCTATCTATGAGAGAAGAACTACCATCATAGACGTTATGCAAATTAATTCGTGCTCTATGCTAGAGTCTTCAGTCAGGTCCGGTCCGGGCCGCATTCTTGCCGGAAGCGTCGTGGGACATGTCCATGCTAGTACCCTGAGCAGTGGCATCAAATGATGGCACCTCGCACATAAGGGGCCGATATTGCTTTCAAATGTAAGGCGTTCATTGTGTGATTGATCTGCGCAGCAGCTAGCTGACAAGCAGCATTGTTCCGACGGCAGGGGCGCTAGCCTCTCGCTTCGGGATACTGGAAAACTGTGGAAAGATCGATCGAGGCCACACGTGTACACTGCCTCATGCATGGAACGTTAATTGAATCCTATATATACGCTGTGTGCAAATTCGAGCCCTTTAGGTTATGAGTATCGTACCAGTCTGCTATACTGGTGGTGGTGAAGCAGTGAGTGACGCCCGGCCTCTTATACTCCGATTCTGTTACGGTCTTTTTCGACTCGCTGAGAGTTCGTCTTTAAGCCGCCTAAGGCCTGGTAAAAATAAAGTTCGGCCCAGTGCTCCACTGTCAGACAACGTGGTCGGATCGACGTACAGGCTTCACCGCGGCTAGCTCATACTAATCATTGCATGCTCGCGATCGATCGAGAATCAGTACTCATGGCGTCATCCAAGTTGACATCATATACTGCTTAGTAAGCTGCACGCTAGCTCGCCGTGCTCCAATATGTTGCTATCCTCGACGTACATACGGTCACATGCATTGAATTGTCCTACTTGTCAGCTTGTGCCATGGACTTACGACATACATGCCACACGCGCGACAAGCTTCAAGGCTCTGATATATGCTAAGCTTTCAGCATGCGCATGCTGCCATCTAATTTCGACCAATTGATCACTCCCGGGACAAACTTGAAAGTGACTAATTCATGACTTGATCAACCAGACCAAGTCTCTCATACGAGCACACTAAAACTACAATTTTTTTATTGTCGTCTGCATTAATGTTTGCACCACGTCATTGGTCCTGATTGTGTTGTTTTGAATCTACGATGTAATGCTACTATGTTCTTTATCGATCCCGCCTTAGGGATTGGCTAACATGTTTTGTAACTTGGACACACAAGTGCAAAGGTTTATTGTTGGCAAAGCTAGCATGCAACGACTATAGGCGGCATCCCTTTAGGATTCTTATTTTTTAGCGGCTATAGAACCACAAGTTTGGCCAACGGTTTTAACGCTAAGGAACGAGCGCATCGATGGATAAGATGGCCGATCCCAATCGTCAATGCTCTGACTTATTGAAGCGTCCAGTCGATCATAACAAACACCACGGCCCAGTCGTCCGGCCTCAAGTATCACCACGGCACATTTCAAACTACGGCCTGGTCGTCCAGCCAACTTATATACACCACGGCCCGATTGTCCTGCCTCAGATATAATTTCACAATGGCCCGGTCGTCCAAGTTCTTATAAACACAACGGCCCGGTCGTCCAGCCTCAAGTATCACCACGGTCGTCCAGCCCTCAAGTGAACCCACGGTCGTCCGGCCATATATCAACATCCCGGTCGTCCAGCCTGATATTAAGGGGTTGCAGGCATGGAAAGCGTCCAAGACCACCAAAGGGGACGACTTCCTTGAGGCCATCGCCGGGTCCCAATCGCCCAACTAAACAAAGCCAAGCGTTGCAGATCTCAAAAGGAAGGAACACCAAGATCAAGCTCTCCCATCCGCTGCGGGTCGGGCCATTTGCAGGCCTGTGAACTTGACTTGTTCCAGCGAGCCCAAAGTCAACGAAGTTGAGCGTCAAACTTGGTCCCAGTGAAAGCGTCTAGTAAATTGAACGGTTCCATTCTCGGAACCAATATAGAGCAGGCGGAGAATGGGTCTCGACATCCTCCTAGTTGTGGGTTGCGACCGCGAACCGCACGTTCACACGAATGGTACTAACAAGGCTCCATAGTAGCTTCATACGTTGAGGCGATGTTGACGTGCCTCTGAACACCGTTGAAAAGAAAAAAAAAAGGAATTTGTTGCACCCGTGTAGGTAGCAAGGGGTTTGCCGCACATCCGGATGTAGCCCTCGCTTTCCCAACAGGTTCAACAATAATCAGCACGTCATAGCGACGCATTGGGCTTCGCAGCCCTCTCCTGCCAATCCTTGATGGCGCTCCGCAAGTTGTAGTTGGGAATGAGTTGCGTCTGGGATAGCCGGAGATTGGTAACCGGAGACGCCCTCTTATGCCTGAACCAGTTCTCGATCGCGTGGCGTTCGTAGGTGTGGCCGTCCAGTGCAATCACCGGGTCCTCCATAAGTTCCTGCGACGAACAACAAGGACCTGATCAACTGACTGTAGGAACACCGAGAGACCAGGACAAAATGCGGACGGAAGATTCTGTAAGGCAGCCAAGACGACACAACCATTCAGCCATGATTACGTCGATTAAGCTAAAGGGTGAGCCCCCCCGGACAACTGGCTGCAAAATTATTTGTATGAGTCAAAGAGGCGTTTTTGACCGGGCAATCATCCGCGGGGAAATGTATTCATTCTCTAACCGTTGCTTTTCTAAACGGGTCACTATATCTGCGTGGGCAGACTCTGAAGCCTCGACAAGAGTTAGCATCAGAACCTTCGATCAATTTATATCAAGGGGGTTGTTCATTGGACCCGGCCTGACGATGCGCAATCACGAAGTGCGAAACCAGGGAGCTTGACTGCTTCTAGACAGATCCGCAATAAGGCGGTACTTTAAAATTGGACTGTCGTGACGTCAAGTTCCTACAAATGCGGACTTCAGGAATTCAAAACCGGTGCCAGCACAGCTCTCATCTCAAAAAAAGACAACTATTCGGAACCGCCTAGCTCGAAGAACAGCCCTCTTTGACAACAGGCAAACAAAGTTTCAGCTCGTCACTGCCTTGCCACCTAATACGTCCCGGCGTGTTTATTTCTCTTTCTTTCGGGGCTCAGGGCGCGTTAGCTTCAAACAGGTGCCGAACCGAAGCAGATCTTTCGGAAAGTAACGGGCAAACCTCGGCTAGGTCCCGGTCCAAGGCCGGTTCACAGAGAACAGGGACCGGTTCTTACAAATTGGAGCCAATTCACATGAGCTGGTTCCTATACTCTGTGAACCCGCCTTGAACCGGGGCTAAGCCCCGGTTCATCCGCTACTTTTCCGGAGCAGATTGCTCCAGTTAGGCTCCAGTTTGCAGCCAAGACACCCTGTCGGGGGCTGGGTGCGGTGAAGAGGAGCTTACCCAGGTGATGGGGCACTTGAACATCTTGGGAGTCTGCTCGTCCGAAACGGCCCCGGCTCCCTTAATCTGCTCTCGCTTCGCTGCCCCGAGCATCTCGTCCTGTTCCGCGCGTACAATGTCGCGCCCGTCGTCGAAAGTTGTCCGGTCCGAAATGCGCCGGCGCAAAACTCCTGCCGTCTCGCCGTCGCTCTCGGCACGTGGTCGTTTCCGGTTCGCTTGGGACAGCGCGGTGCCGTTACCACTGGGACCGGACCTGCACAACGGAAGCGCTGATTGTGATGAGTAAGGCTGCTCGACACACCGTTTGTCGCACCCACCGCTTGATTTGCCCGTTATGTTGGCCGGCTCTGTTGAGCCTTCAGCCGGCGCAGACGAGAAAGACCCTCACGAAGCAATGGGTCCCGAACAAAGTGCAGAAAGCGTTGCACTCAGCCGCTGAGAAATTTTGCGCACAGCCTGCTCTCCGTCTCTTCCAGCTTTTTCTGATGAGACGATTTTCAAATCGCATTTTGGTTTCTTTTAAAAGCACGTACGTTCGGACCCGTAGAAATGCTGTCAGACCCATGAAAGCCTAAAAGTGTCAGATCTGTGCCGGGCCATGCTAGCGTCCGAAGAAAGGGACCAATCAGGTGCCTGAAGGCTTTCGTCTGACAAGCCGTTTCCGAGACGAGATCCGGAAAGCAACGCCAGTGAGCCTTGAAAGTGTTCATAAGCTTGTATCAAAGAACCCAATAGCTTGAAAGATAAGCTCCGAGGCAAACCAGTGCTCCCTTCTAAAGCGCTCGTCCAGCCCTTAACGCGAAGCACGACCTGCTTAAGGCCGCCAGGCTGCTTCCTTAAGAAAGTGCTTAAGGCTGAAAGCCTGAGTTTCAACCCACCTTGGTTCGATGACATCCGGAATTGCAAATTATTCGAAGCCGTTGTCGACAGAAGCTCAAAAAGGAAAAAGAACAAACCTATCGAGTTATTGAAAAGAGCCTGGGTGTCCAGATGCTTACTCTTGAATGTTCGGCCCCTCGAGGGACCGTGGCGAATCGTTCGTCGTCAGACTCCCGTCGGGCTGAAGCAGTAACCTTCCTCGCCGTGAGTCGGATAGCACACGCGAACAGACCTGGGGTATGGGTAGCACTTGACGAAGCACCTGACGAAGCACCTGAGGAAAGTGAGGACGATGCACGGTTTGCTGCCGAAGTGGGAAGCAACTGTTTTCTAACTTCCTGTTTCCATCCGGTGTTAAAGACTCGCCGCACGCGTGCAAGCAAGGACTTCGACAGAGATGCTCTGTTTCACACGCCAATACAGAAGTTGCTCATATAGATCGAACGACAGAAGTTTGCAGTTTTTTGTTGACGTCAGCCGAAGAAGTGGGCCATCGAAAGCGATTGCTATCCGCATCAAATGCAGATACTCGTTTCCGTCTTAAGCAGAAAGGACCGCGGGCGCCAGATACCAAAAGGCAGAGACTCCACCTCATTCAAGAACCCAATGATTCCCTCGTTCTCAGAAGTAAGGGCCGGCTTGTGGTAACTCACATCGCTTGGAAGATCGGACATATCACCCGCGCCTTCCGCTCGTTCTTCCCCGGCGCCACGTGTCACTCTAGTGGTTGCTGATGCGGGCGAGGGAGCGTCGGCAGGCTCGCTTGTGTTGGATTGAGACTCGGAGGTCGAGAGAGAACCGTCCCGTCCTTGGATTCGTTCCTTGAGATCATTATTTTCTACGACGCTGTTTGGCAAGGAAAAAAAAGCCACGTGTCAATACAAGCAATATTGGAAGAGAAAACATGCACGGGCCGGCAAGCACGACACAACGGTCTCGACATGGGAGTCTCGACGAATAGACTCGCATCGGCTCTACTGTCTGCACCTGCGACAAACACCTGTTGCTGTCTGCAGCATCGAGAGATGCCATGAGAAAGCGAGAGGTAGCAAAACTCAATGAAAAAGCTGAAGATAGGGAAAAGATCATGAGACAATTAGAGATAGCAGAAACTTCGCTCAGTTTTTCTGACAATTGTTTCACGACCCGGACTTTGGACCCAAAAGTTCTCCAGCTTGTGCGATGTTCATTGCAGATTTGTTGCTTCGAGGGAGAGAAGATATCTCCACAGCAGGATCAGGTGCGGGCCCAGTACAAACTGTGCAAACGGCGAACAGATTGAACTCTAGCAGCGAGAAGATTCAGAAGATTCTACATACAACCTAAGTTGTTCAGACCAAGCGCACTTGCCTGCTTGACAGGTTCAAGCCCGTCTCTGGGCATATGCCTCCAAGTTTGTGGACACAGGCCTTGCAGCAGTTGGTCTGTGTGTCCAAAGTCACGGGGTCCGTCATAATCTTATCGCACCAGGGGCAGAAGAACTCGCGCGGTCGTCCCTCGACCTTCATGCAAAAGAAGAGCGGTCAGGGAGAATAGAAACTTTGGTCGCTCTTGGATAGGTTACTTTGACACAAAGCACACCAAGTAGTCAGAGCGTTTCTGATGCCTTTGTGACACAGTCCACGGTTTGAAGGGAAGAGAAGCATGGGCAGTCAAATGAATTCACTGCAAGTGCGAACGACCAGCAATAGGGACAGTGTTCCATGCCCAAGGGAGTCCTCCATTAGCGACTGAGAGGCATACCTGCTGAGGAGAGGATCTGCTGGCAGTCGAGCGCAAGTGCCGATCAGACAGGGACGTCGGGTCCTCCCTGTCCTCCTCATTCCTGCAAAGAATTGTTGTCAGTGTTAATGCGAAGAAGTATATTCCCAGTTCCATCACTGATGCGAATGGACTGAGGAATCCGACCTCTGCAACGCACCAATTGAGAGTGAATGACTGTCATCAGGCAGATGGAAGTAATGGGGTACAAAATCCTGTAGGCAGAAACATTGGAAACACCTACTTAACTGAGTACACCTGGTCTACGGCGAAGGGCTTTGAGTACATGAAAGCTTTTGGAAAGCTCTTCAGATCAAGTCCCTGCTCGATTCTGGGAGTCCAAGATGAAAGTGCAGCTTACAAACGTCGACTTCAATTGGCGCAATCCAGTATTGTTAAACAAAATACATAGCCACATTGCGTACCTTTTACCACCAGGTGGCCTTACGATTTGCTGCGCTGATAAATCTTTCAAGAGGGTCCTGCTCAGAGCAGTTCCTTGCTACACAACTTGTTTCTCATATAGCTGTTGTAAACAAGGAACGTCATGTGAGGCCTGGAGTCCAGGTCCAAAATGGGGCTTGGATTGTTTAGGAACCCTTCAAAATGTTCGTCAGAGCCGCCTTTCCGAGATTGTCAGAAACACGGTGATCAAGCAAATGGGATTCGCCACTTACTGGACGGTCACCAAGTGGACTGCCGATAACTCCTTCGACAGCGGCTTAGCAACTGCAAAGAGCCCCAGTTGGCATCGTAAACCGTGCAGGACAGATGACTTCAGCGATCTGGAGGTGGTGCGCGTTCCACCAGTATAAAGGCCCCAGTGCAGGCATGGTGGTAAGGCCAACCAAATAACAAGAGATGGACATGCTCCGTACTGTCAGCGGCTGTGAAGGACGAGCGTGTGTCTGAAGTGACAGGTTTTCTCCAAAGTTTGAAACGAAGGCACTGCATAGACCTTGTGTGACAGTTGTGTTCCACTTCGTGCGAAAAACTAGTGGCCTTAATCTGATGCACACGGCACATCCTATGCGGCAAACAGCTTCTGAAAGCTACCATCGGACGTGAGCAGTGGAGAGCCTGCTTGAGATCTTGCAAGATTTTAACCACCAGAAGCAGACGTTCGTCCAATGTTAGAAGCACCAGGTTCTAACTGAGACACACTAGTACCAGATATCACGGCCTTGTCGAGCAACAAACCAACACGTGTCGAGGCAGGACCCTTGAGCAAGTGGCAATCAACTGAGGCTCTTTGACATGTGCATGGAACTCGAGAGAAGAACCAACCTGGTTTTTTAGGGAATGCGTGCGCGGCGAAGACATCATATTCCCGATTAAATGTTGGTGAGGAAGCGGCCAATGCTTCGGTGGTTGTCCCAGACTCCTGCCCTTGCGCGTCCCGTACACCCATCCCTGCAGCTGCCAGCTGAAGGTGCTTCAGTCCCTCTCCCAGACAGCATTTGCCCACTGGAAAGTGCTCCAGAAACGACTTTGGCTGATTATATTCTCCATTTTGTGGCACTGGGTTCCATCCAGTGTTCAGTGGGTCTCAGGGCATCCCGATCATCAAGAGCTAAGCCTAGGTCCTATAGGCTCTAGCACAATCTGCAGATGACGCGAACCTCCAGGGATCGCTGCACTGTGCCATCTGCTGCCATGTGGCAGTTTTACCTTGACTCTGGCCAATCCTGCGGCAGAATTTAATGTAATTTCATTATTTGGAGTCAAACATTGAGGTACAGACTTCGCGCCTGTGTGAGTAATCCCCCTGAAACCAGTGAGACTGAGAGACAGAAAGGAGCTTTGAAGCATAGGATTGAAGTTGCTACAGTAGCTTCTGCTGACCAACCTCTCTAGAGGCCTGTAGGTATATTAGGGCGGTGCACCACGGTTCTCCAGCAGGGCGGTGCAGTGTCCGATCCACCCAACACAGGTACCTAGGACCTAGGACCTAGCACACTGTAGCAGCTCTCATAGAGTTCACAGTGACCTGTGCATGCAAGAAGCTCAGGCCGGCTGTTGCAGCAGTGCAGGGACAGTGCAGGTGCACAAAGATACGGTAGCAGCCTCCATGCAACAAACCCAATCGCACGGTGTAAAGACCGTCACAAACCAATCAACCAACATCAGAACCGTCGCGTTTTAATACGAAGCTGTCGAATACGGCTGACGGGCGTTGCAGTAACCGTGAAAAACGGGGATCCCCCAAATTGTAGACCGAAGCTGCATGGTACTTTCCAAGTTGCGTGAGTGGGATCATTCACGACGTACGGTTTGCCGGGTCAACTAGAATGTCCTCCCCCTTGGAAGTTTTGCGATGAAGGGTTTAGTACGGGGTTAAGGATGTCCCGTTTTCGCAGTAGGGAATTTGCGGGGAAATTTGTCGGGGGTAGGTAGTAGGGGGGTTAGTAGCTCAAGTTTCGATCTCGGTCAATGCGGTCACGGTCAACCCGGTAAGGGTTTCGGCCAATAGGAGCACGAATATAAATGCCTTACCGTTTTTGGAACATGATGTCATCAAGATTCAATATTATTAGGGAGGCAACAAGAACTAGGGAAGGTGGTTATTCTAGCCTATCAACAGCTCAGCTAGTGGGCCCGGCGCCAGGGGCGGCCGCCCGTCCGACGGCTCGCACGCGAGCGGGCCGCGCACTGGCTGGCCCCCGCCGTACGGTAGGTACCGTTCGTACAAAGTATACCTAGTACGTACCGGCCTTGTGTAGAAGGAAACAAAGCTTCACAGCCTACAGGCTACTATAGTACAGGCCACAGGTAAAAAGAAGACACAGACTCAGTGTTCCTGGACAAGACAGCGGACAGCTTGGCTCTGAGTCTGTGTGCCCCAGCCTTCTCGAGTAGACTCGTTGGGTGTTGGAGAGTTCTGTGTTGTCCAGTGCTTCCGAATCACTCACTCGGGAGAGTTTATTTGAAGAGATGGCAACGCCGGGGGCAGGGGGCAATCTGCAAGCGAAACTGGTATGTACAGTCCTCGATCTTGTGATAGACAAGCATGTCAAAACAGGAACGTCTTCGTTTATCTCTTACGGTTCTGGCCTTTCGATTCTGGAAAGAAAATGGCTCCGGGATTGAGTCTGCAAAGTTGGTGGGCTCTTCTATAAGGGTTTAATCCTGTGGGCAACATGCATCTTTGCTATCAACTCCTGAGCTGCTGTGCCATATCTTTTGCATGACTGCTCCTTGTCAAAAAGCTGCTCCGTTCTGCTTGATCTTTCTTCAGAATACAGACAGTGAGAATACAGACAGTGAAAACTAGATAAGCAACGGCGGGGTGCTTGGTGACAGCATGCTGTATTAGGGTTTGATTGTCAGCTTGTTTCAAACTGAGGACTTGCCAACGCATTGTATTCTAGACGAGTAGAAGAATCTTACGCGTTGTTTGCATGCTCTTCCTGGAAGTGCAACCTGCTTCTAGGTATGCTTTAGGACCTCTGGGGATCTGGAAATTATTGGATCTAAAAGAGCTCGCCATTGATTAGGGTTCAGTTTGTTCAAAATTTGGACTGGCCGTGAAGATGTTCAGAGTCAGCAAGACGTGTTTCCTCCTTCATTACAGCAGCTAAATTGTTTGACATCCAGAGCCCAAGTTTTGCAAAGCGGCCACCTGTAAGGCTGTCTCTATGAGGTTTTAGTTGAAGCTCATCATGTTGCTGCCAACTGCTCTGCAAGCTCCGGCTTTCTTTTGAGTCACACGTGCGCCGCATTGCGCGCACTCTCAAATCTGCAAGATTGCATCGTCAATTGTAAGCGGCCGCTTCAATGCATCTGAGCTGGTTTCCCTGTGAATACCAGCGTCTGGTTGTCAACTCTGGTCACATTGTGTGTAGAAGCCTGATCGCACAACGGCTATCTGAATTCTCTTTCAATATCCCGAGTTTCTCGGTTGCAACCGTACCTCAAATTCTGGACCCGGTTTGACTTTGTGAGCGTTTTGTCGTGAGCTTGGCCTACGGTTGGAGACGGGGGAACAACAAGTAACAAAAAGCAAGAATGCTTGATCACGTTATTTCACTGCTTGGCCAGGTGCTCTTGGGCGACATGGGCGCTGGAAAGTCCAGTCTTGTGCTGCGCTTCGTGAAGGGCCAATTCTTTGATTACCAGGTAAAACACCATTTTTACCCTGCCGTTTTGGTTTGATGTGCTTGGCCAAGCCTGTTTGCTGTTGATAACCTCTCTGAAAGTGTCTCTTGGATTGCAAATCATTTGAAACAGTGAGATGTGAGTTGCCGTAGCTGCGGGAGTCGTACGAAATTGATATGGTCAAGGGCAGCTCCGAACGTGAGGCCAACACCATCCATGTCCTTCACTCCTCCATCTGATCAAAGAACAAGCATCGTTGAGGCATTTTCAGAAGACCTCCTTTCCATTTGCAGGAGTCCACAATCGGGGCTGCATTTCTGACCCAGACAGTAGCCGTCAATGACGTGACCGTGAAGTTTGAGATCTGGGATACAGGTAAAGCAGTTGTCGTTGATTTGTCATACTTTCTTTCCTAACACTTCCATTGGAAGGCCCAATTGTCTCTTGCGTGGCTGCGCTTTTCTCGTCGGATGCTCGAAGTGCTCCACTTGTGTCCAAGGGATCTGTTCTTCGAACGCATTTCCTCAGTTGTACCTACAGGAACGTCCCAGATGGTAAAGCTGTGCTTGTTCTTTGCACTCCAGACCAGTGCTCTTCTTTTTGTGATGTTGGGTTTGTTGAGGACAGCTTACAAGGAGCTGACAGCTGTAAGAAGGGTTTGAAGCATCTTCCGTTGTTTGGCATGTTTTGAATCAGGGGGTGGGCCCAAGTGTTTCTTGCTGACTCTCTACCCACGGGCTTTTCTATGCATGTTTTTACACCTGCATCTCTACATCACTTGAACGAGAATTTGTCACACTTCATTTTTGTCACACTTGATTTTTTGAAGCGCGCGTTTTCAGTGCTCACTTGGAGCAGCCCATGATGTTCTGATTGGTCAAGTAGGTGAAAGAAAAGCTGCCGCTTATTCTACCTGTCAAACAACGATTTCCTTTCGCTTTCGGTCGTTCTACCTTCTTTCTGAGGCCGACGGAGTGGGGGCAATTCTAGTGATCTGCAAGTCTTGCTTTTCGAAGTCTCCACAACGCCAAGTGCAAGACCACAGGCCTTTCTGGGTTGATTCACCTCATTCTAGTTTCCTTGCTGCAGCCGGCCAGGAGCGTTACCACAGCCTGGCGCCCATGTACTACCGAGGGGCCGCAGCGGCGATCGTGGTGTATGACATCACAAATACGGTGAGTATGTCGTCAACACAGAAGTGTATGCTCGCTAGCTCATCACATGCACGACGATCCACATGCAGAATTCGAACATCACAGCGGGCGCAGGAGCATCTCCCTTCATCGAATGTCAAAGCTACCGAATCGCTCGGTCGCGGGCTATGACGAACGAGCCCGAGGTCGTTCATTCGTTCAAATTGAGAAAGACGTTCACCGACGGCTAAAAGCCACTGAAGTGTCAAAAGAAGAGGCAAAGCCGACGTGAATGGAATGCAACAATATGAGGGCGTTGCTTGTTCTAATAAGGCAGTCTGCAGCAGCGGCCATGATACTCAATTGCAACCATTATGTCATGGATGGACTCGACATTCGACTTCGTTGAGAAGGTAGTCTCTCTACTCTGGGAGATAACAAGTTGATCACTCGTCTAGTTAAAAAGGCGCAGCCCTTGGTGGTGTTCAGTTGCTTCCAGGAACTGAACACCACTTCGTGCGCAGATTCTGTTCCGAAAATCCTTCTTGATCTCATTGCGGTCGCTAGAAGCTCGTTCGAGCTACTAGGGACGTCTTTGAGGCGACTTGTCTAAGTGTCGAACTTTGAACGTTTTGGGCGTTTGTAAACGTTCTCAAGTTCGCAGAATACAAGCTTCTCAATAGCTTCATCAGTGGAGCCTTCCGGTTGTCGCCGGATTGAACCAACGAAACCCTGTGTTCTCTGACTATCCCCTGTTTGAGCGGGGCTGAATCTGGGATGTCTGTTTTTCCAGGAATCGTTCACACGAGCAAAGAACTGGGTTCGCGAGTTGCAGAGACAAGGTAAGAGGCCGTACTTCTGGTAGTAGATGCGTTAAACAATGAGAATCTCTAGATGCAGTCACCAATAGTCAACCCGCCTTTAGTTACCTCGCCTCTGATGCTGGTCTCGTCTCAATCTGTCATGCATATAGGCTACTATCGCCAGAACGGTCTTGATCCGTTCAATCGCTCAACATGAGCCGTTTTGGAAGGTGTAGTCGTCTGAAGTTGACGTTCTCTTCCTCCTGTTCATGAGAAGTGAGATACGTGCGTCCACGCGTCTGCACTGAGCAAGCAAGTCCCTTCGTAAGAGACTGCAACCGAGGGTTGAGCAGTTGATCCATTCGTGGAGGAATGAAGTCTCCTTGCAATCCGCTTTCTTGCTTTGACTCTGCTATCATTTTTTGGTCGGCTCGTGTCGCTTTTCGGTGCCTGCTGGTCTCCCCTGGCATCCTGAATTAATTACGCGAGAAGGCGAGCTGGTTGGTATCTCTATCTAGCTGTTCTCATACACGGATTTCGTGCGCTCGACCTGAGGCAACAGCCAATCCGCTCTTTTAAAAGTTCCTGAATTAGATTTAATGCCGCTGAGTCATCCACACAGCGGGTTCGCTCAAAGATCCTGGCGCTCTAGTCTCGTCCGTTTCTTACGAAAGGCTTGTTTTTCTTGTTTTCTCACCCTTCTTGATCCTTCCGTGCTTCTTTCAGGGAACCCCAATCTGGTGATTGCGTTGGCTGGCAACAAAGCGGATCTGGCCTCGAAGAGAAAAGTGGAGACGGAGGTACGGCGGCGGATGATTCTCAGCCCCCTTACCCATCCTCGTTGTCCCGTATTTTCGGTTGTCATTTTGTAGTGAATCCCTATCAAAGAGCCGTACACTCTGCTTGGCTTGCAGGTCATATGGCCGGTTTTTCGGTTATGCAAGGTCTGAATTATTATGGACTGCGGCAGGTTGTTTTGCTCAAAACAAAGAGCATTGATGTCCTCCATCCAACTTTCTCCGGTGGATGAAAGCACATGTCCAGGTCAGCATGGTGTCAATGGAGTGTAGAAGGCGTGGCGTAATCGAGGGCTGCATCGCAGTTGCATGTGGCTCCCAAACAATGGACGGATTAAACAGAGCTTACAGTGCCCTATGTGAGATTCTATCAGCCCTTTTGAGTGGATCAGCCCCCACGAGCACAGCTGCGAAAGCGTCGAGCTAGAAGCCCTAGCATTTTCTGCAGAAGTGCTGACCTCAGCGCGTCGGGTGTTGCAGGAGGGACAGAGCTATGCTGACGAGAACGGCCTCTTCTTCATCGAGACGTCCGCCAAGTCCGCTCAGAACGTCAACGAGGTCTTCTACGAGATTGGTGAGCCCCACACCCCGACCTGCGATTGGGCCTTTGCGACGTCTTTTAACCCCTTCCTTCTCCGCTCCTGCTCTTTTGGTTTCATAACCACGTCTTCGTGCTGGAAACGCTTTTTGCCCGCTCTGTCTCGTTTCTACATTCGTGATTGCGCTCCCTGCGTTTCAGCTTCCACTCAAGGCCGCTTAAGCCCCTTTCAAGGGGAAAATACTACTTGCAAATCTTTTGTTTCTTTTTCGGGAATTCCTATTCAAATAGAAGCTCCATTCTTGACCCTATCTTATGCGTCCGGCGAAGTGTACATAGAAAGTTTGGGTGCCTTTTTTGAAGGTTGCTGTTTGTCATCAGTCGCATGACGTGCCTTTCAGTCACTGGTCGCGATACACGTGGCCCCAATCATCTTGGACACGTACAAACTTCAACTGTCCGTCTTGAGCTTCCGTCGTGAATCACTAGACGCTTTCGATCGACCATCGTACTTTTCCCTACGAGTTTCACGTTAAATCAAAATTGGGTGAAGTCAGCACGTTTGCAGCTTTCCACGGTTTACCAAAGGTTGGACTTACTTTTTTTGCAGCCCGAAAGCTCCCCAAGGCGGCCCCCGCACCCCAACCGCAAGGCCTGAACCTGAACGCACAAGGCAGGACGCAGCCCAAGAGATCCTGCTGCAGTACGTCCTGACCGAGCTGGCGTCCGAGAAACATTTCCCAACCGTTCGTTGCCGCGAGCGTGTGCGGTTCTAAGTAGCGCTTGTAAGATACATATGATACTTGCAGTTTAGTGAAGTTGCGATGTAAGATATATGCCACTTGTGAATATCGATAAAGCTGCCGCAATGCTGCCCTTTCTGGTGACGCGGATTCTGAATTTGGTATGTAAAAGACAAGCCTCAGAAACATGACAAGTATTTCCAATGGAAACTAAGCTACTTGCTTGCGATTGGCGGCTCACATCTCAGCACCTCAGCTTTTGCTGCCTATGCTGACGCCAGGGTGGTCTTTCCATGCTCGACGGTGATGATTCTATCCTACAATCTAGTACTGCGCGGCGGCGCGGCCATGCCCGCACCAGGCAAATGATTGATATTCCTGCCAGCTAGGCCCAGCCAGCTAGTGGACATGAGCTGCGGCGCTTAGACAACACTTGAGTTGTTGTGATCATCATTCTATACCGTGATCCGGTATGAGCTGATCGGAGTGACTCGCCCGCATTCGATCGTGCAACCGCGCGTTCGACGGCCCGCGCAGTATATATATAGTGACCTCCAATCATTCAAAACTATGCTGGGCAAGGAGTCGGAATCATTTAGCCTTGCGTTGTATAACATATGCATGCATGCCAGTGCATGGCCGGCACTGCCCGGCCATGCATGGTTTACATTGCAATATATGAAAAGTGCACTAGCCATGCCTGGCGCCAGGCGCCGAGAGCTCAAGGATCTATAACTTACGACCGCGCCTTTGTTAAGCGCGCATGCATGTGGGCACGGGATTGTTGAGCATGACCATGTCGCTTCTTGCTGGCGCGGCGGCAGATAGTGATCAATCTGAATTGGCCCCTAGCCATGAGATACTGAGCTCACAACGACGCTAAAATCAAATGATTCTTGACAAGTCTGGGACTTGCTTGGACCATGGCATGATCCGTTGTTTGCTATCGTAAGATAATTCTGTACGATATAACCCCAGCTTTCATGAGCGTTGCAAGCCTTGCATGATCAATCCGTAATTGGGCCGCGGCATCCATCACGAGCTCGCGAAAGTTGAGAGCGCTGAGTTGATCTGTACACGCTATAGTTGCTGTAGCCTAGCCAGCAGTCCTACAGAGATTAAGTTACGAGTGTGCACGGCACATATGGATGATGGTCACTGCTTAATGAGGTCCGCGTCAATAAGGACAAAACTCCAACGATAAATATACCTCGTGTGAATGTGAACCTGACCTTTCTACGTCCCTTGCTTGGGGGGCCACTAAGCGTGACTGTCACGCTGCCGAACCAGTTTATCATCCGTGCTCAGGCTCTGAGACTACCAGTATGTCAACATTGAAATAGGCCGGCTGACGTTAGTCGAGCCTGACTGCGAAAGAATGGGTATTTGAAGATCCTGACTTCTCGCTACTGCCGCTGTCAGTTTTGTCCCTCGAAATGTTCGATCGTTGTGCACCGACGACGTGTGCTGGCAAAGAGGATTGCGACTTCAACCCCAGGTAAGCCGCCTCCGCAGGTTCCGTCACTGAAATACGAAAGCCTATAGCATATCGAGCTCCGCTCTCAGCAGCAGCGTTCGTCGCAACGACACGTGGGCGCCCGAGACGGTCTCCTGGACAACCACCTCGCCGTATTTCTGCAAGCGAGCGCCAAAAGTGCGGTGCCGTGAGTATCGCGTATCGCGGCCCGCAAGCGGTATGAGCGGATGCGTTACAGATTGCAAGCGTGGAATGAAGCGCGGCGTCAGAAGTAGCATTTCTGAAGGCTTGCATACTCGTGATGCTGCGCAAAAGTTATGACACAAGGCCGCCCATCATGGGAATGCATGGATCATCAAAGTAAACCTCGGAAGTGTCCTCGGCGATACAGGCAATGAAAAGACGGCCCTCGGTATATTTTGGTCCAAAGTTGGACCGTCAATTTTACGGATCGATCGGCAAAACGACCTCCAGAGGTACTGTTTGGGAGTCCCCGTATAACTACAGGAAAGGCAAACGTGCGACCAATCATGTGTTCAAATGGAACAATTCCATATGGTCGGACGAAAGGGTCAGCTGCTTCGAAAGGACTTTCAGTTGCTTTGAGGAAATAGCCATGCGCATGCAGTCTCAAAAGAAACGAGAACCCTGCTTTCTCATAATCAGTAACCATCGAAGCGGAACCCAAACCGAGGATCGACTTATGATACTGCAAGAGCTTGCGGAGTTTGTTTACAAGAATATCACTTATCGCCAGGTGGACGGTATGTCTGAGAATGAGACGCCAGTGAAGATCGACGTGCTAAAAATACTCATCAGACTTCGTTGGCGTACCAAAACGTGCGGCAGCGGTTCGGGCTGGAGGGCTTGATTTGTCCTCAATCAAATGAACATACTGTTTTGGTTCGACGCGAGTGCGTTGATCGAAGCTCAAGCCCTTTAAATTTGCAGGAAATGAATCAAAAAGTTTATAATTCATACATGCAAAGCACGGAGGACTCGAAAAGTCCCTTCAACTTCTGAGCGGAGGACTATCTTGAGAGTCACCAATTCCTTCACTAGAGAACGTAAGCACAACTGGACCGGACTCCTGTGAGAGCAAAAGAAGGGTCTCGCCAACCCACCTCGTAACCTAGTTTCTTGTACAACTCCTGCGCGCCCCTATTATCGACTTCCACGTGGCAGAAGACTTCACTAAAGCCTGCGGACAAAACGAGCCGTCAGTGGTCGACATGCGGATACTTCTCGATTCCATGTTGACTAAGCGCATGTTGACTAAGGACAGTGCTCGGGGGCACAACAAACCTGAAAACGTAACCCAAAAATTGGCACACGCTCCGCACCCGTACCAACCCTAACCCCTCAATCAACCCTACCCGTCCCCTGGGTGTTTTCCTTAGTTAAGAATAGAGTCGAGACCTATGACATCCAGTGGGTTGGCGGATCAAGGCGGGACTTCCATTCCACGCTACACGAAACAGAAGCACAAAGCTCGACTCTGTATCACGTCTTGAAGAGGACTAGAAGAGGCTCGATTGCAATCAGCATTCCCGCTGGACTCTTGGATCGGAATCGGCCTCGTGCGAGCATTGAGACGTGCTTTGCACGCTTGGGCCCGTAAAGCCCTCCTCCCTCGTCAAACAGTCCTTCGTACCCTGCTGAGAAAGCAGTCCGCTCTTATAGAAACAACCTGCCTTACAGACTTACCCCACTCTTTAACCACCAATGCGGCGGCCCCCATCATTTGCGCGGCGATGCCCCTCCGCCGCGCGCGCTCGGGAACGCAGACGTTCGATATGTACACGTATTTTCGCGCCTTAGTGACGGGCCGCTTGCCCGCAAAGGTCACGCTTTCTTCCGAAGTTTCTTCCTGCGAAAGAGTAAACGCTGTTTAAAAATCAGGAAAGATCAGAGTTTGCATCTCTGACCGCTCTTTCCAGTGGGAAAACTTTCGTATACATCTTCTGTGCAGATCGCATCTGCCCACTTTTATAGCCGTTAACAAATCTTCAGAGATAAAGTTCCTCGAACCCGGCTTAAGGATCAGCATTTCGATCGGGAGAAACGAGACGCTCTGAAATCAGGGCCTACAAAGATCGGCGTCACGAATACGTTGGCCAAACCGTTGGAGCTCGGTTTGTCCACCTTGATGTTCCTGTGCTTCTACGTAACAAAACGAAACATTTCGACTGGAAATGCTGAAACGTCTCCAATTTGTCCAGAAAGCCACGAACATATACAGGCAACTGAAAGCTCCAATGTCTTTGAGCCTCGTTGTTATCGTCATACAGTAGGGGATTGTGACTGCGTTAGCAAAGGATTGAACGCAGTATCTGCCCAAGTCGGGACAGGGGGTCGCAGATTAAGGAGGCAAGTCCTGAGTTACTTGTTGAGGAAACGTAGAAGAAAAGAGTCCACGCAAGAGCTCACAAACCCAAAGCCTTCAAGTAACTCAACTCACCCCAGCAATCCGTTCCCCTGGCATAAGTTGCTTTAGGCTGACGTCAAGCGTACCAATGACGTAGTCGGAAGCCGGATACGAAGCAGCCAGCGCGGTGGGGTCGACTGCGACCAGGCAGCAACACCGAAGGTGGCGCCCCGTTTGCGCTTTTGTCCGCTTCAGTAACGAACCGAACTCCTGCAACGGGGACAACGTGTCACGCCATCAAACAAGGGTCAGTTTTACAGACACAAATGCAGTCAGATCTTTGCTTTATCATCTTGGGATACTATCTGACAAGAAAAGCGTGACAATCAACAATATGGCGTGAGCTTCAAAGGTGGTGTCTAAGGACAAGCTCCAAGAGGCTTGAACCGTTTGCAAGTAACCCAAAATCAACAGGAACAGGGTATCTCTACAAGTAATAGCACAGACATGACAGGCCTTAGGTTCCAATAATAAGTAATCGGACACCCAACCACTCAAGTCCTGTGCCCTTGCACCCTGACCGTAAGTGCGTGTCAAGCAATCAAGAACAAACGACGAGGCAATCACCTCCTCAATTGGAGCGAAGTTTGAGAAGGGTTGGGCTTGAAAACCATCTGCCCAACTCATCTGCTCACGCACCTGCTCGGCAAATTGCTTCCGGTAGCTGTCCACAAACCGCGTGTATGGCAGCCCGTCTGCGTACACGTCCGCCCGCATCCACGCGGCCGCAAGCAGCTCTTCCTCCGACGCTGCCTCCCGCACCTCGAAGCTTGTCCCCGGTTCACATAAATCTCCAGCTTCCCTTTTCCCGTCCTTGCCTTCCGCTGACTTTCCTAAAGTTCCCTGTTTTGAATCATGTTTCTCGTTATCTTTCAAGCAGTGGTGCAGCGTGCTTTCAGGTGAAGCTAGGATTTCATCCAATGAAATCCTGGCTTCGTGAGCTGGCAAAGGCGTTCGAGTTTGCCCGATGTAAGCAGGTACTGAGGCGCCCTCATAGTGGGGACTTTCTGGCAATCCTGTTGATGCACTGGGCGAGCTTCCAGTGTCCAACTCATCCCTTACACATGGCGCAACCTCATTGGCCGTGGCTGTGCAGCTGCAACCCTGCCCGCTTTGACGCCAGGTGCCAGTACTTTTGTGTTGCCCAGTCCCTTGGCACAATACCGCTCTTCGATACTGAGACCGCAGCCATCGATGCCATAACAGTGTCAAAGGTGGTTTTTGAGTGGGTGCCCATTGCAGTTTACTTGGTTTCGTGGAGTTCCAAATTCCGCACTGCGCCCTCGGATTGCAGCGTATTGAGCACTTGGTCGTTGTCTTAGAAGGGAGTACCGTGGGGTTCCTGCATCCTAAGTCTGGCATGCGCACTTGAAATTTCAAAGCTCCTGATTTGTGGAGTGATTTGCAGCTTGTTGCTTCTGCGCGCCACCCCTTTGACGCCATTGCATTTCCCCAAGGTCAACATCCACATCGCACAAGCTGCTGCATGGAGTTTGTCACGAATGTGGGCCCAGAGTCGACTTCCCGTCAGCAGCACTGCCAGCGTATCTGTACTTGAAAGCCGCCCGTGGAGTGAAAAGCTTTGCTCTTTTCGCCGCAATAAGATAGGCGGCTTTCAATACAGCCCCTTGCCTGACGACGTGGATGGCCAGCTTCTTCTGCATTGCGCACACGCCCATGGCTTCAAGCTTGTTCTGCTTCTGGCCCAACTAGCTACGCGAAGATGCTGATTTGGGCACGGCAACGGTGCCGCGGCTTCGGTAAAGGTTATAATGGTAAACAGCAAGCCAAATGAACTTCGGTGTTAAATTTGGGCCACTCACAGGCCGCCACGTCATAACCCCCAGGTACCAAAAGAGTGAAGGTGTCCGGAACGGTCGTACCAGGGGTCGAAACCTGAAGTCGGAGCCGGTACGGACCCAAGTAGTCCCAACCCGATCACCGGGCACTCGGAAGCAATGCCAGTGTACCCTAAGTAGGTTACTTAGGGAGATTTTCTTCTCCTCCGAAAACTCAAGTACAATGTTGCAGCTTTTGCAGGTATGGCCTTACATACATATATATCGGCAATCTGATCGGAGACGAAAAACTCTGTACTACTAATCTGTTATATTCTCTTCTCCAAAAAAGTCAATTACAATATTGCATCTTTTTCAGGTATGTCTTACATATATACATATCGCCACATGGGAACCAAAGGGAAAACTCTGTACTACTAATCTGTTATAATTCCTTCCCTGGAGAAGAAAAAAATTATAATGGATTGTAGTATGAGAGTTTGGAACCTTTCGGGAGCTTTGTATTGAACTAGAAAAGCCACCGGATCTGGCACCG